ACAGATGTGTTTTTCCTTTCAGTCTATTTAGAATCCTATGTAAACCCTTACAGACACACATTCTGTGTTTTTCTCCAAAACTATAAACTGGGATGTTCCTATTTTCAATAGGTTTTTAATTTGGAGAGAGAGAACTACACCCTCTCAAAATACCAATGATACTGAGTAATTAGCTTAGTTGTCCATGAAGATCCACCCTGAACTGAGCGGAGGCTGGCTCAAGATTGTAGTCTCGAGCACTGAGGGTTCAGCTCTGGTCAAGCGCAGGTTAGTGAGCATGAGCTCTGGGTTCAGTCCCCATCGCCACACCCCTACAACAGCCTAAGTAAAGGGGTAGGTATCTGGCCTTAACAAAGCATACAGTAGCATGTAACTGTAAGACGGAAGCTTTTAGATATCCTAACCATATGCTAATAATTACTAATGAATTTTTTAAAACCAAGAAAACACAGTGTAACAAGGATAATAAATGACAAATTCTGTTAGAAGGTGTGATCCTGATTTTTAGGGTGAAATGTGGCATCATACAACTTTGCTCTTTAGCATATAACAGAGAGCACACGTGTTCAAAAAGCATTTATTTATTTATTTATTAGGGAAAAAAATCCCAAATTAAGAGGTGAGTTGCTCTAACTTCCATATCACATTGAGGAAAATTAAATCCTGAGGAGCCAGGACCATCTCAGTCACGTCAGACAGAAGAAACACCATGTAACAGAAATGACAATTTTCTTTTTCCATAAAGCCAAGTCTAGGGTGGCGACTCAAAAATTGCCAATGTAAAGGAGCGGACCAATCTTCAATATATATGCTTTCCACAGTTCCATCCCAGAGGCGGGTTGAGGGATTCGGGGGCAACAGTCTCTGAACGAACACTCCACCTTCAATTCTTCGCTTCACTGACTTCTAACAGTTTGGCAAATTGGGGGTCATCGCATTTTAGAGAAACGTCACCAAGGCTTTACAAATGTGATCTGAGAAGATAATATAAACTCCCGATGCCTGTGTCACTCTCTGTATCTTTCTGTAGGTCTTTTCTTTAGATGGTATTTTAGCAAAAACATCCTCCAGCTACAAGCTAGCTGAAATGAAAAGCTGTGTACCCCAAACTCAAACCTTGCCTTTTGTTCTCTGGGTGATTTAGCGGGTGGGTACATTTGGGTACTGGAAGATCAGGATTAACTTTCCTTTGAGAAATTATAAAGATGGCCCGCAGGGTAGAAGTGAATGCCCCACAATCCTACCGATCTGAGTTCCACCCCTGAACCCATGTAAAAACACTGGATGTGGCAGCCCAAGTCTGAAATCCCAACCAACTACTGAGCCGCGGGAGGAGAGGCTGAAGAGTCCACATCTCTGCCCGCATGTGCAGCCCAGGGGCAGAGATGCGAGAGACTGCTTCAGAGACAGGTGGAAGCAGGATCCGGTTGCTGGAAACTTGTCCTCTGACCACACACATGCTGTAAAGCACACACCAGCTCATATACACATACTGTAAGTAAATAAAAATGGTAATTAAAAAATTAAAACCAGGGAATTTGTACCTCGTTCTTTAAAACTAAGGTCTAGTTTTCCCAAATTCTCATTTTTGTTTTTCTCTAATTAAACATTTACCGAAGCCTTGCTTTGGTGCACAGCATTTAAACACTATGAATGTGTTTTCTAAGTTGTCTGGCTTAGCAGCAAGTGCTTTTACCTGAGCCATCTCACTAACTCTGGTTTTTAAAATGGCAATTAGCTTTAGTTCAAAGAAAAAAAATGAGATCATACATTTCCTGGTTTCACATATACTTCCAGATATGCTGCACCCTTTTATGTCAAATTTACATAAACAATCTTTAAAATACCGGAACTAGAAAGACATACTTGCAAATTATCATGTAGGGTTATATCCTTAGCCTAAATCAGATTTCAAATTTCAAAGCAACATGAGGAACTAACTGGTCTTTTGTGTATGTCTGCACGAATGCACTCACTCATGAGGGCCATCAACAAGGATGGGCAGGGGTCAAAGGACAACCTTGCTCCTGGCTGCCCACCTTGCTGGAGACAAATCTCTTTGTTGATGAACGCTGTGCACACTAGGCTAGCCTGCCCCGACTCTGCGGCCCCTGCCTCCACCTCACAGGCCCACTGGACTGCAGTCTGTGGGACGGCAGACCTGGGACACCACAGTCAGCATTCTCCAAGTTCTGGAGAATTCAGCCCAAGCCCTTTGTGCTTCACAGCAAGGACTTCTTCAGGTTCTAAAAATAGCGCTATCTGGAATAACTTCTAGACATCTGTTTTGAGGGGCTTGAAAAAGGATTAATAATTGCTGCCCAATTATGTGAAAAATTCAAAAGAATTTTACTAAGAGGAAACTGGATATGGCTTAGCACTTTCCCATGTAACAACAGCATAGAATAATGAATGACAAGTGTGAGAGGCAGGGAAGACACTGAAACCATACAGTGAGTCATGATAGTGACTCCAGATAAGAAATGAGGGATCTGAAACTGTAAGAACAGAGAAGCAAGCCATATGCATCGCCTATGCAGGCTGTAACACTGCTGTATGTATCTCCTATGCACACTGTAACACTGCTGTATGTATCTCCTATGCACCCTGTAACACTGCTGTATGTATCTCCTATGTACACTGTAACACTGCTGTATGTATCTCCTATGTACACTGTAACACTGCTGTATGTATCTCCTATGCACACTGTAACACTGCTGTATGTATCTCCTATGCACCCTGTAACACTGCTGTATGTATCTCCTATGCAGGCTGTAACACTGCTGTATGTATCTCCTATGCACGCTGTAACACTGCTGTATGTATCTCCTATGCAGGCTGTAACACTGCTGTATGTATCTCCTATGTACCCTGTAACACTGCTGTATGTATCTCCTATGCACCCTGTAACACTGCTGTATGTATCTCCTATGCACCCTGTAACACTGCTGTATGTATCTCCTATGTACACTGTAACACTGCTGTATCACCTATGCACACTGTAACACTGCTGTATCACCTATGCACACTGTAACACTGCTGTATGTATCTCCTATGCACACTGTAACACTGCTGTATGTATCTCCTATGCAGGCTGTAACACTGCTGTATGTATCACCTATGCACCCTGTAACACTGCTGTATGTATCTCCTATGCACACTGTAACACTGCTGTATGTATCTCCTATGCACACTGTAACACTGCTGTATGTATCTCCTATGTACCCTGTAACACTGCTGTATGTATCTCCTATGTACACTGTAACACTGCTGTATGTATCTCCTATGTACACTGTAACACTGCTGTATGTATCTCCTATGTACACTGTAACACTGCTGTATGTATCTCCTATGTACCCTGTAACACTGCTGTATGTATCTCCTATGCACCCTGTAACACTGCTGTATGTATCTCCTATGTACACTGTAACACTGCTGTATGTATCTCCTATGCACCCTGTAACACTGCTGTATGTATCACCTATGTACACTGTAACACTGCTGTATCTCCTATGCACACTGTAACACTGCTGTATGTATCTCCTATGTACACTGTAACACTGCTGTATGTATCTCCTATGCAGGCTGTAACACTGCTGTATGTATCTCCTATGTACCCTGTAACACTGCTGTATGTATCACCTATGCACCCTGTAACACTGCTGTATGTATCTCCTATGCACACTGTAACACTGCTGTATGTATCTCCTATGCACACTGTAACACTGCTGTATGTATCTCCTATGTACCCTGTAACACTGCTGTATGTATCTCCTATGTACACTGTAACACTGCTGTATGTATCTCCTATGTACACTGTAACACTGCTGTATGTATCACCTATGCACACTGTAACACTGCTGTATGTATCGCCTATGCACACTGTAACACTGCTGTATGTATCTCCTATGCACACTGTAACACTGCTGTATGTATCTCCTATGCACCCTGTAACACTGCTGTATGTATCTCCTATGCACCCTGTAACACTGCTGTATGTATCTCCTATGTACACTGTAACACTGCTGTATGTATCTCCTATGTACCCTGTAACACTGCTGTATGTATCTCCTATGTACACTGTAACACTGCTGTATGTATCTCCTATGCACCCTGTAACACTGCTGTATGTATCTCCTATGCACCCTGTAACACTGCTGTATGTATCTCCTATGCAGGCTGTAACACTGCTGTATGTATCTCCTATGTACCCTGTAACACTGCTGTATGTATCTCCTATGTACCCTGTAACACTGCTGTATGTATCACCTATGCACACTGTAACACTGCTGTATGTATCTCCTATGTACCCTGTAACACTGCTGTATGTATCTCCTATGTACACTGTAACACTGCTGTATGTATCACCTATGTACACTGTAACACTGCTGTATGTATCTCCTATGCAGGCTGTAACACTGCTGTATGTATCGCCTTTGCATACTGTAACACTGTTGCATGTATCTCCTATGTACTCTGTAACCCTGCTGTATGTATCACCTATGCACTCTGTCTGTAACACTGTTATATGTATCGCCTATGCACACTGTAACACTGTTATGGACCGTAGATCAAGCCCAGACTTTCAACATACCAGGCAAATACTCTGCTAGTGAGCTCAACCCCAGCACAACCATTTTATTTCTTTAAAAAAAAATATTACATGTATTTGGGGGAAGAGAACATATCATAGCACACAGTTGAGTGGTCAGTTCTCTCTATTCATATGTGGGTCCTGGAGGTCAAACTCAGGTTGACAGGTCTGGTGGTAAGTACTCTTACCCAATGAGCTATCCCGCTGCTAGCCCCAATTTTGTATCTTCAGAGAGCCTAGGTGTATACAGTGAGTTCCAGGCCAGCCTGACTTCCACAGAAAGACCAAGCTCAGAAACAAAAACAATAAGATGAAAGTACCCTCCCTGTGGTTACACAAAGCACATCACGAATTCATACCATTTTCTACCAAGTTTCATTTCTGGAGCAAGAACTACCGTAACAAATCCTTCAATCAGAGATTTATTTTTGTTTCCACATTACAGTTTGCTGTAATTCACAAACTTCCATCTCAGTGAGTCTGGAGACACTGAACTCACGGGGTGTCAGGGCTGTGAGTCCCGCACTCTTCCGGCAGAGTCGCCGCTGTTCATGTGAACGACACGCACTGCGCTTGCACATCTCATGAGCTGTTGGGGTGGTGACAGCTGCAGCTTTTCACTGAGTCTTCAGTTACTAAACTGAATGTTTTCCCTTGATACCTTACAGTCATCAGCGAGCTATCTGCTTACATAATGTGTTACAGTCAATGCGCTATGCTAAATACCCGACTTAACGTTCAAGACATCAGATGCAAGGTTGGCTCTGATGGCACACAAAACTGCAACACAAGTTTCAGTGTAAGAGATTTACTTCTCTCTCAAAGCCAAAAGTATCCCACAGTTCAGATTTACATAAGTAGTGCCTTTTTAAAAAATAAATTAAAAACAAAATGCTATCCTGCCTGTAAAATTATAAATATTTCTAGTCCATTTTACAGAATGTTAAAACATTTACAAATGCATTATTTCCCAGTAAATAAACACTGTAGCACTGAAGCCACCTTAAAAAAAAGTCATATATCTAGGATTATGTCTTTAACATTACAAAATTAAACCAAATAAGGAAAAAAGTAAAGGAGAAAGAAGAAATTTTACAAAATGGCAACTACTATGATCTAAAAGATGCTGAAATGCCTTCACTCCATTCAGTAACTACACCATTTTTGGAATGGACATTTGTGGATAATGAAGTTAGGAGAGTGTACCTCTCAGTGTTCGGGTCAAAACCACAAAGTATACAGAAATACTTTGCCAACTGGGCAGGAAAGACAGAACTCAAAACACAGTGACTGTTTAAAAACCACACAACAAGGTTTAGCCAGAATATTCAAGATCAGATGACTTCGATGGGCTATACTTCAATGGTAACCTAAGTTACAAGTCCACAGGGAACACTTATTTTACCATGTTAAGAAAGGAAACATGATTTCATGGTTCAATACAGACTTGCTAAAATGAGAAACTGTGGGTGATCTAAGCAGCCAATATCCCTACAGAAGCATGAAGACATGATTAGAAGAAAGGACTTTCAGTCCTGTGGCCTCTTCAATTACTGAGCACAGGAAATATCCCATCCACCTTGAGAAAGAAGCATGGCTTCTGGATGGCACTGACTCCCTTTCAGTGGGGAAGAAGATGTCTCTGTGTCCCAAGAGACTCACTCGCCAGGTCTATAGGATCTCCAGATCTACGTGCCGAACTTCAGGATTCCGTTTCTGGAAAGAAAAATATCTCCACATGATCACAGCAAAACACTCTCCCCCTTAAATTCTTTCTGATCACTAGAACAACTAAAAACTAGTAAGTGGGATCTATGCATAAGAAAAGTATCAATATGAATATACAATGAGCAGTACAGGAAATAATCCCACCTCCCTGAATCTGTTCATGTGTTAAGACAAAGACGTTTTACAAATCTCATATATGCCAATCATGGGAAGCACTAGAAACCATAATGCCCCTTTTCATAGTGAAAAGAAAATCATTGCAAAACAATGCCAATCAGAACTAATAAATTTATAATACTTCTTGATATAGTTTAGTAGTGCAAGCACTGTGCTAAAAAGAAGTGGAGATAAGTCTTTTTAACTAAGTCTCTCCTTATCACACACACACACACACACACACACACACACACACACACACACACTCAAAATGTAACTGATAGTGAAGCATCCCAGCTTCAGAATTATATAGATTTTCACTGAGATGCATAGACTGTGGGTCTGCGCAAGTGCTTGTCTGAGTGGCTTACATTAATTAACCATGTGATTTTGTTGTTGTTGTTATTGGGATTTTGTTTTTTCATCATTTATTCTTTTTTTAAGATTTATTTAATGTGTACTGGTATTTTGCACATATATAATATGTGAGGGTGTCAGATCCCCTAAAACTGGAGTTAGACAGTTGTGAGCTACCATGTGGGTGCTGGGAATTGAACCTGGGTCTTCTGGAAGAGCAGCCAGTGCTCTCAACCTCTGAGATATCTCTCTACCCACTTGTTTGTTTGAGACAGGGTCTCTCTCTACATAGCTTTGGCTCTCCTAGAACTTACTATGTAGACAAGGGTGGTTTCAAACTTACACAGATCTGCCTTCCTCTGCTTAGAATAAAGGCATTTGCCACAATGACTATCTGAAAGTTCTTTACAATGATTAAAATACATACAAATGTACATACATACATATATACATACATACATACATACACACACGAGGCTTTCCTTGACCTGAGGCTGGACTCAGATTAGCCAGCAGACAAGTAGACTAATAATACTTCATGTTCTTTAATCAAAACTATCAAAATGCATCACAGACTGAATGCAGAGGTGGATAAGGAAATCTAGCTATCTGCTATTAAGATAGCTGCTGGCTTCTAATCCTTTCCACTCAAGTATTTTTGCAAAAACATGGAGTAATTAGAGAGATGGCTCAGTAAGTAGATAAGAAAGAGCACTTGTTGCTCTTACAGATGATCCAGGTTCAGTTCCAAGAAGCCACACTCACAATTGTTTATAACTTAAGTTCCAGAGGATCTGATGCCCTCTTCTGGCCTCTGCAGACTACACACGTGGTATACAGACATACACACATGTAGGCAAAACGCCCATACATATGAAGTAAAAATAAGTAAATCTTCTAAAATATATATATATGAAGCAATATTACTACTAGTAACATGGCTGATAAAGTACAATTACCTCTAAAACAGAAAGCATAGCATAATGTAAGGACATATTTAGTACTATATTCCAGTGTTCTACATTTTGACTACAGTCTCAAGTTTTCCTTTTATTTTTCTCTAAAATTTTTCAAAATGTTTTCTATTTAAAGACAAAATACCTTTTATTATCTTAAATGCAAAGTAGGAAGAACAGTGATAAAAATACTGAATTTGGAGTTGAACCAGAGGTTCAAAACATTATTCCCTACTTCACTGGCTGAATTATCTAACTTCACTAACCTATCAAATCCCTGTCTGCAAATGTTTTACAAGGCAAAATAGAGTACACATGTATACATGTAACACACTTAGTATGGTATCTACATAGAATAAGGACTCCAAAAGCAGCTGTTGCTATCAGAAGACAATTTTGACAATAGTATCTTACTTTCAGCTCCTTCTCAAGCCTGTCCACTTCAGCTCCTAGAGTATCAATAATATTTTCTCCATGTTTAAGCATAAATGCCTCTAATTGTTCAGGAGTTTTTACTTCTTGAATTTCCTAGAATGAAAGTGAAAGTAGAAACAGATTTTTAAAATTATAGTGGTTATGCATAATTTGTAGCATCATTAAATTTAATGAAAAATAAAAACTTTAGGTCACGGCAACGAATCCCTTGTTTCTAAACAACGCAGAAAGAATGCTATGCAGAGTGAGCACTATAAACTAAAGGTAAAGGCAAAGATTGTTCACCAGGTACGACCAGGCCAATAACCTCCCGTAACAATAAAAAAAGCTAACCTCTACTTCAGTCTAGTAAGTAAACAATTCAAAGTAGATGAAGTTCCAGAATTTTTAGAAGAAAATGTTTTTTATGATAAAGAGATAAAAGAAGGACTTTTTTCCACACAATAAACAGCATAAAGACTAGACATATTCCTAGGGATCCCAGCCCTGGAGGCAAAGCCAGGGGCATAGAAAACTCAAGGTCTCTGGGTGTGGTGAGACACACCATGATTGCTCTGAGTTGGAGGACATCCTGGTCTACATAGCTAGTTCCAGGCCAGTCAGCCCTACATGGTAAAAAAAAAAAAAAAAAAAAAAAAAAAGAAGAAGAAGAAGATGCAACAGAAACTTTGCTATCCTGAATGTGGGAGAGAAATGGACACACTCTGGAAGTTAATTTGAGTTCAACTACCTTAAGCTTAGCTGTCCATACCTACTGCCCTAAGACACTTACATGCATGTATGAAACACCACCAGAAATCACCTCTTTTTCTTTCTGAGACAGGATCTATGTAGCTCATGATGCCTCAAATCATGATCCTCCTGTCTCAGCCTACTAAGTGCTGAGATTATAGTTTTGAGCTACCACGCCTAGCTTGTAGCATTGTTTCTAACAGTTTAAAATGGAAAACAATATAAATGTTCATTTAGAAACACAATAGCAAATCGTATCATACCATATTCATAGAATGCAACAGCAGTGACAAAAATGACCCCAAACCATAAAAACTAACAAGGAATCTCAGACATGCTGTTATGCAGCTATACAGTCACACAATATAAAACCATATATCATACATTTATACCAAACACTGTGGAACATTCAAAATATAATATATCTTGCTAAAAGCATGCATTCTAAAACTCAGAGTGGAAATTGACAGGTATCAAATTTAGCCTACTGGTTAACTCTGGGGATGAAAAATTAGATTTAGCAAAAAATTAGGCTTAAACTGTTTTTGTAATGATTTCTTCCAAGACCTTACACAAACACAATACATGTTGAATGCCCCTAATGTGAACATCCAAGCTGTTCTGCAGTCTACAGCTCTGTGACCACTGGGACAGGGATGCACCTGAGTTAGTGGGAGTCTGCATGAAGCCCTGAGGTGTCCCCAGCACACATAAACCAGGCATGGGGGCACATGCCTGCGGTCCTAGCACTAGGAAGGAGGAGCAGGAGCTGCTGAATTCAGGTATCCTGAGGTATACAGTGAGGTCGAGGCCAGCCTAGGCTACACCAGACCATGGTACAAACAAATAAACAAAATGACAACAACAAAGCCAAAACACCAGGCTTTTTGACTTTTGATTAAGAACACTTAATGTATACAAATATTAAAAAAATTATATGGGAAACATTTCAGTTCCTTAGTATTTTTTACACAGGATATTCAACTACATAGCAAATATTAAGATCTGACAAAGCCAAGTAGTAATATTTATTCTGATTATTGTTGGCTTCTATAAATTGTCTCTTAAACTATGACATTACCCTTTTATCTCTGAGGTTTTTGTCCCGACAGTCCAGAAGTTTAGTAAAGTACAATTGTAACAATATACTGTAAGTTATGTGAACACACCTCTCCTCTCCCCACACCAGCTCGGTTCCAGCAGAACATACAGACTGAATATGCTGGGGAAAGGGACAAGTCATGTCCTGGGAACCAACAAACTGCTCAGGAAGGCAATTTAAACTTTAGGCTGATCTCTGGAATTTTCTGGTTACCAGTTTTGGATTAAGTTTCTGGTAATAGCTGGGCACACTCGGGAGGCAGAGGCAGGCGGTTTCAGTTTGAGACCAGCCTGGTCTACAGAGCCAGTTCCAGGACAGCCTCCAAAACATTACAGAGAAACCCTGTTTTGAAAAACAAACAAACAAACAAGTTTCTGGTAATTTAATCCACAGAAAATAAAAGAGCAAAGTGGGCAGGTATACTATTATATTATTAATAAAAAGTATAGATCTGGAGTCAAAGATCAGATTCATGTGACTTCCTGTATATGGTTCTGAAACCTTAGACAAGCTAATTAGTCTGTTGTTGAAGTTAGTCTGTATGCTACGATCTGCTATTTCATCACCACACGGGGTGTTAAGAGCACATGACAGAAAACATGGGACAAGTATTAACAACTTAATGATTACATTTGTTCTTTTGGCTGTCTCTTTTTGACTCACTATAAATAAAAAGTTCTTTACCAGACTTGGGAACTAAGAAATTCATAACTAAATTAACTCTAAAACTATTAAGACAAAAAGTAACTTTAAAACTGTGGACTAGCCAGGCAGTGGCAGTGCACAACTTCAATCCCAGCACTTGGGAGACAGAGATAACAGATCTCTGTGAGTTCGAGGCCAGCTTGGTCTACAAAGCGAGTTCCAGGACAGCCAGGGCTACACAGAGAAACCCTGTCTCAAAAACAAAACAAACAAACAAAAAAACAAAACAAAAAACAACAACAACAACAAAAAACCCAAAACGGTGGGCTACAGAAGAAAATGATGAATACATAAACTTACTTGCAGCATGTGGTCAAAATCCTGCTTTTCCAAGTATGAGCGTGTAACAACTCGTCCATCAAAATCAACTTCTGCCTTAAATCTGACTTTCCCTAAGCCCAGATCTGTGGCTTTAACATCATGGATTGCCCTGTGATGAAAAACAATACAGGTAAGTCTGAGTGTAACACATCCAAACTTTCATGGCAGAGAATTCGGCTTCCCCAACAACACTGCAGACAATTTAACACCAAGCTCATTGCTTTCTAAGACTGACCATCTAGTTTGGTTTCTGTACATGATGCCATATGAAAGTTTAAGTGTACTAAATATGCTTTTATAATAATTTACACTCATGAGCAACTAATTCTAAAGAGCTTTTCTAAAATATTATCAAGTTAATCTAAACATCCTCATAATCTATTCACTTATCAATTTCCTGACAATTTATTCATTCATTCATTCATTCATTTATTTGTTTTAGTTTTTCGAGACAGGGTTTTTCTATATTGCTTTGGAGGTTGTCCTGGAACTCGCTCTGTAGACCAGGCTGGCATCGAATTCAGAGATCTGCCTGCCTCTGCTTCCCGAGTGATGGAATTAAAGGTGTGTGCCACCAACATCCAGCATCCCCTAACATTTATAAAAGCAAAATTTTTGTTGATAACAGTATCTTTGAGGATGCAAGCCACCCACTACCCCCCTCCTCCCCTCCCTCCCTCTTCCCTTCCTAGCTAGCACCCTGGTCGAACAGGACTACCTGGCCTCCAGTCCATGCCTACTGCACGGTTCTTCTCCCAGAAGGGAATGCAGATGAAGCATCAATCCCAACCCTAAGCCCAGGAGCAAATACCTCTCTCCTCTCTTCTCTACCTCCCTCTCTCTCGTTTTTGAGACAGGGTTCCTCTGTATTGTTTTGGAGCCTGTCCTGAACTCACTCTGTAGACCAGGCTGGCCTCTAACTCAGAGACCCACCTGCCTCTGCCTCCTGAGTGCTGGGATTAAAGGCATGCGCCACCAACACTCGGCTCCTATCAGCTTTCTTTATAGAACACAGGAGAAGTAAAGCCTGCATCCTGAAAACACAGAGTTGTGCTAGAATGCCACCTTTGGAAAGACTCTACATGCTATTACAACACTGGATTCTAATTTCTGAATCATCTTGGACTTACTGAGCCCAAGTTTCCTAATCCACACAAAGAAGCTTTATCAACTCCCCGGGATAACACAAGAATAAACGACTCAATGGCTACAAAGTTATAGACACTCAAGTTAAAAATAAAATCAGTCCAGATGGGCAAGATGCTATCTCATTTATTCATTTGTTTGCATTCTGTCCTCACAAAGCGCTGTGATGTGTCTTTCTTTGTTTAACACTAGGGAATGGCTAATCTATTCTGGTGTAGCTGTTCCTTATGTCCGTGTGCCAACTGCAGACAGAAAGCTCTCTGTGTCAAGCAGCCTGTGTGATGACCCTGCATCAATGCCTCCTCTCTGCTATGCGATCCCCTCTCCTCAAATCCCACCCACGTCTAGCCCAGAGAATAGGCCAAGTGATGAGACGCATTTCCTCATCAGGCAGGTTGTCTGTCGCTTTTCTCCCGTTCACATTCATTGAGGGCCCGTCAGCTTACACGCTTTGACTAAGCACACTGCCATGTTGGAAAGGCTCAATGTGGCAAAAAGGACCTAGTTTTGCCATCATCGAAAAACTTGCAAACAGCTCCTTGCCAGGACACAAGTCAATCAACACCTTGACTACTGTCTGTGAGAAAGACTGAAGCGGGGAGCCACATATGCAGGGCTGGAATCCCTGACACAGCTACTGTCAGATAATAAATGCTGCCTAAACCACTAAGTTTTGGGCTAGATGTCATACTGCAATAGGTAACTAATAAACTATTCAAAAACAAATGAATCAACTGTACGAACTTCAATTACTAATATTGATAGTTTCCAATGATATAACTCACATATCTTCATTCTTGAAGACAATTCACATTTGTTTGAGTTCTTTTACTCTTTAACGCACAATGCACCAAAATAAACAAAAATGGACAGAAATAAAGTAGAAACAGGTAAGTCAATCACAGCTGTGTGGTGGGAAAAGAATTAGTTAACAGAAAGAAATCTGAAAAAGTTGCAAATATTTAGAAATTGATATGCCCCAAATACACACACACACACACACACACACACACACACACACACACACACGGAAATCAGTATATTAGAGACAATTGTACTCCAGTGCCAATTACAGTATGAAGATATGGAATCAACCTAGGAATTTATAAATAGGTGAATAAAGAAATGGTAATACATAGAAACAATGGGATATTATTTTGCAATAAAAAGAAATCACTTAAATCATGAATGAATTTGGAAGATATTATGTTAAGTAAAATAAGTTGGACACAGAAAGACAAAAAAATTCCATGTTATGAAAGCTAAAAATACTGATTTCGTAGAAGTATTTGGGAAAGAATAGCAGGCTGAGAAGGGGAAGGAGAGAGGAGTTGGAGATTGTGGTAAATGACTACAGGGATGAGCGAAAGGAAAAATTAATCACAGTACAATTGTATACTTCAAACAAACAAACACACACACACTACTTTGGGATATCAAATGCTCTCAATCTAAAGAGATAAATGTTTATGGCAATGAATGTATCAACTCTTGGATCTGACTATCACATGCTACAAAATTTAGTGATGTATCATAAATACATACAATCATTTGTTAATTAAAAAATAAAATAAAGTTTTAAACAAACAAAATGAGAAAATGCTTTGAGAGGAGAACAATGCCTAGGTGCAGAGAAAGCAGATGCTGAGAGATAATTCTGTGAATGTCTGCATGAAAAAGGTAACAAATCGGTTAGAAACTTACCCTCCTAAAGACAATGGAACAGAGCAGACTAAATGGAAAGCAACCAGAAGGAAGGGAACAACAGTGACTAAAGAAGAAATGAATGAAAAGGGAGATGGAAGAACAAAGAAAGTCAATTAAACAAAAATCTAGTTTGAAAACCAAATTGACAAGTATTTATTAAATAGTGTTTGTGGGGGCAGGTGGAGACTTAAGCTAACAGAATCAGAAATAAAAGATGTGACATTACCAACCTTAAGGAAAAACATTTCAAAGGAATCATGTACAAAACCCCACATATTATACATGTAAAGGAAAGGTTTCTAGAAAACACAAACTTCTAAAGTAGCTCAGTAAGAAACATCACCTGATGTCACTTGCCTGGGAGATGCAAGGCCCAAGGTTTATAACCCAGGAAAAAAAATGTGTAACAGTCTACAGCAAGTCAGCGAATTTATAAAAAACAAAACAATAGCAACAACAAAAACCAAAACCTGATTCATTTAGAAAAGCTCATGTCCAGATGGCTTTACTGATAAATTTTATCAAAGATTTTTTTAAAAGAAATTACTGACAGGGGCTGGAGAGATGGCTCAGTGTTAACAACATTGGCTGCTCTTTCATAGGACCTAGGTTCAATTCCCAGCACTGTATGCCAACTCAGTCATGTAACTTCAGTGCCAGAGGAAGTCTTCTTCTCACCTCTATGGACACAAGCCACTCATGTAGTACACAGATAAACATGTGGACAAGATCTCTCTCTCTCTCTCTCTCTCTCTCTCTCTCTCTCTCTCTCTCTCTCTCTCTCTCTCTCTCTCTCTCTCTCTCTCTCTCTCTCTCTCTCTCTCTCACACACACACACACACAAATTAAAAAAAAAGAATTCGTCACACATTTTCCATAAAACAGAAGGGAGATTTCCCAACTCACTCTATAAAGTTAGTATTGTAGAAAGAGAATATGAACAGAGTTCATTTCACTTGAAATATCCAACTCCAAATTCTAACTAATTATTTGCAAATTTAAATGTATAGATTTTAGGATATGTCAACTGCTTATGTTTTACTAATTCAGGCACACAGAAAAATTTTAAATTACAAGAATTTCAACTATGACATTGCATGCAGTCATACTGATGGATAATCCCTCATCCCAGCAGTGGACGGTGGGGTGGGGCCTTCACAAGTAGATTTGTGCCACCTCTGGAGGACAGTGATTTCTTGCTCTTAGGATTTCATTCATTCATTCCAGGGGCCAGCTGTCACAAAACAACACCCCCTCCATTTTCCCTGCTCTATATGTACCCCCACTTTCCACCTTGCAAGTCCAAGCAGCATTTAAAGACTCCTGCTAGAATGTATTAGAATTGTGACTTATATAAACCTTTTTTCTTTACAAATTACCTGCTTTCTGGTATCCTGTTATAGTAATAGAAACATACTATAACCAAAACAGGGAACAGACTAAATACCTTCTATTTTAAGTTTGAACAAATAATCATACATATTAGTTTTTCATCACTGTAGCCAAACATCAAAGATAACAACTGAGGAGGAAGATTGTGTTTTGGTACAGGGCATTGGAAGCTTCAAGGTAGACTGGATCCCTTGCTTTGGGTCTGGGGCAATCAGAGTGAGTGTGTATGCAGGAGCCAGCCACTTTACTGCAGCTAGTATGCAGAGAGGGACAGAAGAGACCAGGTCCAAAACATCCTTCAAGGCCATCCCTTGTCACCACCTGCCTCCTCCAATAATCTCCTAACAGCACATTTGGCTCTAAGCTCATGAACAGATTAACTGACGACCCAATCACTTCTCCGTAGCCTTACTTCTTAAGATCAAACCTTCAACACATGAGTTCTTGGGGGGTTGGGGGTGTTTTATATCTAAATTATAGCAATGTATATAGAGAGAGTGGATTTTTTTTCTTGGTCATTGTTGGCATCCCGCTAGGGACTGAACCCTAGGGCATCATGCATGCTCAGCAAATATGCTTCCATTGAGCTACAGCCCCAGAACCAAAAGTAAGGCTTCCACTTTGTTATTAAGCACACTGCTGCTGAACACCACTCTGTGATTATCTGCTAGGCCTCCAATTCTTTAGTTTTATACAACTTAAAAGAAGAGGTTTGGTGGGTACAGTTACAGCTCATCAGTACAGCACTTGCCTCACAGGTGTAAAAATTCCTGGGTTCAACAGCTGTCTCCTCTACCACCACACCATACCACACTACACCACACCACGACACCACACCACACACACCACACCACGACACCACACCACACACACCACGACACCACACCACACACACCACGACACCACACCACACACACCACACACACACCACACCACACCACACCACACACACCACACCACGACACCACACCACACACACCACACCACGACACCACACCACGACACACCACACACACCACGACACCACACCACACACACCACACCACACACACCACACCACGACACACCACACACACCACACCACGACACCACACCACACACACCACACCACGACACCACACCACACACACCACGACACCACACACACCACACCACGACACCACACCACACACACCACGATACCACACACACACCACACACACCACACCACACACACCACGACACCACACACACACCACACACACCACACCACACCATGATACCACCACACCACCACCACCACCAAGGTAAAAAGTGTCTGGGCAGGGGAAGTTTTTTAAAACTCAAACACTATCTTCAAAAGATATACACATGATATTTACTTGGGTAATCATTTCCCCATGAATGAAAGCTCTTTCGCATTTCATACACTCAAGCTGTAACTGTGATACAAGCAGCACTGTCTAGTGGCTTCTCCTTGAAAAGGCAGGCAGGTGCACTCAACTCTGTCTGTCTTCAATGCAGCATCTACGACTTATCCATGAGGTACACAGTTGAAAGGGAAACGTACAGGGGGTTTCCTTCATAAGCTTTCTTCCCTTGAGGAAGAGGCCACTGTGTTTGTGTGAGACACCCACAGAGCATCACTAGACAAGGCCTACCTTACTGACGGGTCGCTCTCCAGGAGTTCAGTAAGCCGCTGTACTTGATCCGGTTGTATGGATCGGCCTAGGAGTGCTTCTGTGTTAGTGTAGATCAGGAAGGCTGATACCACACCTAGTAAGGTGCCCACACCCAAGGAACCCAGGCTATCATACAATGGATTGCCTGAAAGAATCACAGAAGAAACCAAAACATTTCGTATCATTTCAGTGAGCTTCAGAGAGCAAACAACCAAGGTATTGAAATCCACTTCTGTTCCTTTGGTTACCTCTTTAGTCGCTGCTAATATGTAGTATTTGGTCTCAGTCTTATTTCACTAAATATAATGATAGCCAGTTCCATACAAATACACAAATAAAAAACAGTATGGAATTAATAGATAATAATATATTTGTTTAAAATTATTCAGTGATGTGACCAAATCCCCATATATTAGAGAATTAAACAGAAGAAAACCACACATAATTTAAGAAACATTTACCTGTTACAGAGGTAAGGCCCATGCAGGTGGCTGCTATTATCACTCCTAAGACAGCTGCAGTGTCCTCCAATAGTATAACATTGGTACTGGGATCACGACTTTCCATGACTTAATCATTGCAGCAGACAAGAAAAGAAAACTTCTGAAATCTCAATTTGACACTATCAGAAGACATTTCAATAAGTACCCCTCTAAAATCAATCTGTTAATTAACAAGAACGCATGAGTGATTGTATTTTTAAAAACCCTATTTATTTATTTAAAATTATTTATTATGTATATAGTGTTCTGCCTGCATGTATGCCTGCACACCAGAAGAGGGCACCGGATCTCACTATAGATGGTTGTGAGCCACCATGTGGTTGCTGGGAACTGAACCCAGGACCTCTGGAAAGGTAGGCAGTGCTCTTAACCTCTGAGCCATCCTTCCAGCCCCTAAAAACCCTATTTATTATCTTAAATGCTAATAATAACTTAGTAAAATTACCTTTCCAAATGATACAGGTATATGTAGAAATAGAACAGCTCACCTAAGTCAAGTTCAGATAGAAAACATTCCTATGCTCAAAAATTCTTTTTAACATAGCTGATTAGTCTTTGGAGAGCCACATACAGAAGGCAGTGAGACATGTTTTATACCATTTGTTAGTAATAAAGCAACAGCACTAAATATTTTAAGAATAATAAAAAGAAAATAGAAATACTTGGTTCTAAACTACATACCATACTTATAAAATGATGTTCCTTTGGCCTGAGCGCTCCTGCGAAGTTCATTTATGGCAACAAGAAGTGTTGCTGAAAGAGAAACATCCTATCAGCAAGGAAGAAACTTCCTCTCTTCAAACTTTAAAGACGACATTTCAAAAGATAAAGAAATAAGCACAACATATGAACACCAGAGTTGGCTTATCAAGACCTAATTAACCATTATAACAAAACGAATCTCCTATTTCAAACCATAATAGCTAATCACAAATACTACAGCAGTAACAGCCTCTGTCAATTGAGCAGTCAGTATAGGCGGCACTCCCTGGGCATCATCACCTCTGGTCCTCCCAACCTTTGGAGGCCTATCAACTAAGGAATACATCATAAAGGTACAATCATAATTGCTACCAGAAATCATATTAATTTTAAAAATGGGGTAAGACCTCTGCAATCTTAAAGACTGGAGTTTGGATCTCAGCCCTCATGTAACAACCATGCACCCAGCAAACACCTGTTAACTCCAGCTCCGAGGGATCTGTTGCTTTCTTCTGGCCTTTGCATGCTTGTATACATATACATATGCATGCACATATACAGACCCTCATATACAAAGAATGTATGGCTGTTTTAAGAGGTGGATGAAGGGAATACCAAGTACAGAAATTAATCTTTCAGAGGTGAAGAGCACTGAATTAGGTAGTTTATGTTGATATTAAAAACTGTTACAATATATTTGAAGCTATATTTCAGAAATTATTATTCTTATTGTACCAAGACAGCTCTTTTCTGATTACCACTACTAAAACCAACTTAAAAAGTCAGTACCATTATGTTCTATATTTCCAATGGTCTGAGCAATACAGGCCACTCATGAACACAGCCTATTTCCCTTGGCCTCATCTATACAGCAACAACCACAGAACTTTTCTACCTTGAAAAGCAAAGCTAGGCTCCTAACTCCACAGTACTAACACAACTTGGCAAACTATAACGAACGAGTTGTTAAATATACTAAACTTAAAATAATTTGTGACACTACATACCTCCTTCAGACACCAAAGATCCTGCTAAAATACAATATGCCTGGAAAATAAGAATTAAGACAAATAATGAACCAAGTATTTCACTAAAGAATTACAGCTACTCATATGTAAAATTTGTCATATGTAAAATCCAATAAAATTGAAATAAAAGTTCTAACTCAAGCCAGATACTAAGAATCTTGTTGGGAAACAACTCAGAGGAGGAGAAACAAATAGAGACATAAGCCAGGTATAGTCAAGCATGCTCTTAATCCCAGCACTCAGGAGGCAGAGGCAGGCCAGTCTGGTCTACAGAGTGAGTTCAAGAACAGCCAGAGATATGCAGAGAAACCTTGTCTCAATGTCCTCTATTCTGAAAAAAAATTTTTAACTAAAAAAAAAGTTTTAAAAGAGAAAAAAATTTCTAGGGGGAGGGAGGGGGAAAAAAACATTTCCAATTTTTTAAAAAAGACAAAGTGGCCAAAGTCAAGGACTGAAGATGCCTGTTAATCAAGTTTAGTCTATTGAACCCATTATTTATAAAGTGCCTCTTTCCAATGGAGTCCTACCCAGTTGATATGCTAGACACTTTAAACAATGTACCTCAGCATGTCTGATTTCAGAGACTGCTGCAGCCCTGTCAATGAGGTTGCAGATAAACATGCTCAGAGGCAACTTTTCTTCATTTAACTACACAAAATATACTATGGTTAAAAACAAAGTTAGCAACTAGCCTCAAAAATGTAAATAGAGGTTGGGCAGTGGTGGCAAATGTCTTTAATCCCAGCATTCTGGAGGCAGAGGCAGGTGGATCTCTGTGAGTTTGAGATCAGCCTGGTCTACAGAGCAAGTTCCAGGACAGGCTCCAAAGCTACACAAAGAAACCCTGTCTCAGAAAAACAAACAAACAAACAAACAAACAAACAAAGTAAATAGGGGCTAGGATAGACATGGTGGCATTTGCCTATAATCCCAGCACAGGAAGTAGAAGTAAAGAATGTGGCAGGAGTTCAGAGTTCAAGGCCTGTCTGGGTGTCAAAGCAAAAATACTTTGTCTTAATTAAAAAGAATAAAAAATAAAAATAAGCCTAGTTTAATTGGCTTGCTATTACATAGGTATGTATGGGATAATAGAATTTTAAAATAAGACTGATTAAGTACTATTAAAAAATGCTATACGTTCACTCACATTCCAGAATGTTCTAATACCAGAATGAAGCATATAATCTGCAAAGGCTTTCAAAAGGAGCTAGGGGCCTCTTTCTACCCCGCAGTGCGGTATTACACCTAGCACTACTGAAGACAAGCTGGAGAGTAAGGAGGCCAAAAGGGAACTCCTATGATGGATGTGTTGAGTTGCTGAGATTGCTCAGTAGACTTAGTAAGTGTCCCAGGCAGTGCGGGGCTTAGAGCCAACTGCGTCTGATGCACCTGTCAACAATAATCTGCAGGCAAGGTTACTGATGGGACTGTCAGGAGAGGGGAAAAGACAAACCAGCCCCACAGAAAGTAAACTGTCTAAAGTATAGATCTTAGACATGGGGCTCTGAGTTGGGGTCTTCCGAAATATCTAAAAGACAATTTTGCCAAATGCCTGGAAGCTGACAGGAGCTATAGATGACTAGTCTGTGTCTGTCAGAAGTTGAGAGCAGTAGATGACTAGTCTGTGTCTGTCAGAAGCTGAGGGCAGTAGATGACCAGTCTGTGTCTGTCAGAAGCTGAGGGGAGGTAGATGGCCTGGCTGTTTCTGTCCGAAGCTGAGGGGATTAGATGACCAGTCTGTGTCTGTCAGAAGCTGAGGGGAGTAGATGGCCTGGCTGTTTCTGTCCGAAGCTGAGGGGAGTAGATGACCAGTCTGTGTCTGTCAGAAGCTGAGGGGAGTAGATGGCCTGGCTGTTTCTGTCCGAAGCTGAGGGGAGTAGATGACCAGTCTGTGTCTGTCAGAAGCTGAGGGGATTAGATGACCAGTCTGTGTCTGTCAGAAGCTGAGGGGAGTAGATGGCCTGGCTGTTTCTGTCCGAAGCTGAGGGGAGTAGATGACCAGTCTGTGTCTGTCCGAAGCTGAGGGGAGTAGATGACCAGTCTGTGTCTGTCCGAAGCTGAGGGGAGGTAGATGGCCTGGCTGTCTATCCAAGGAGCCAAAGCAGCAAAGCAGCCTGCTCTCCAAGACATGCCCATGTAAGGCACGGTAGTTTAAAGACCTACAAAGGTCAGAGCAGACCAGTGTGAGTACTTATTGTTCCCTACCCAGTGTTGGACACGGCCTACCGAGCAGAAGACTTTTGGTGTAACAACACTGATAGTGCCCATCCTTCTTTTCCTTGCTCCCTAGGGCAGGTCCCCTACCTGACAGGCGCCTCAGAAGAAACACAAAACAAACAAGCACACAAACCTCCTTTTCACTGTGCTTTAACATTAAATGCAGGTCCAGCTTATGTCAAGTGACTGGAAATTTTAATTACTGATATAAGGCCATTCCTGGTGCTAAAAGTGAATAGAGTTCTATTTGTTCTTCAATAGCATCTCTAGAAAATCCATAGAACTACCCAAGATTTTAATCAAAGAGGATGTGCTTATTAATTACACCTATGTAGATCCTCCTGTTTAACATTACTAAATTAGGGGCTAGAGAAATAGCTCAGCAATTAAGAGCACTGGCTGCTCTACAGGAGGACCTGGGTTGGACTCCCAGCACCCCTAGGTAGCTCACAGCCTTTTGTAACTCCAGTCCCAAGGGAGTCAGCATTCTCTTTTAACCTTTATCAGCATCAGACATACAAGTGCTGCACAGACATACATGCTGGCAAAACACTCATACACATAAAGTAAGTAAAAATAGTTTAAAATCACCCCATCTGTGGATTTAGACATTGTAAATACTCATGTGTTAAAAAAAAAAACCCATAAATAAATAACCTCTGTGACACAGCCGAAAGGCATGTTATTCCTATTCTCTAATACATTACAACAAAGTCACAGTACTCCATATATGAAAGTGGGGAAAAAAAGAGGATCACCCATAGAAGGGATTCCATTGGTTGAGGATGAAGTAATCCCATGATTCCATGGTACCAAGAGAGTCCTGCGCCCATCATGAAAATACCAACACCACTAATCAACGAAGAAATATAGCGCATATTTGAAAAGCCATACCTGGAAGATAAAAAGATCATATAGTTTTCAAAAATGTACTTACTAACTCAATGAGAAATAAGAAATATTCTTATAAATTATTAAAATGATGTCATTTTATACATTTAACACTGTAAGTGCAAAGTTCAAATGTTGTTTTGAAAATTCACAATATACAAAGTGGGGGAAAATGCAAGATCTTTGAAAATATATAAAAATAAAGTAAATATTACTTAATTTGGGTAGTTTCTCATCTCTATTTCAGACAGTCTACTTTGATTTATCAGAACTACTTTATAATTATATTCCACAGATGCCAGGAAAATTAATCTTTTTATAATTTATTTATTTGTATTTTATGTGCATTGGTGCATTGCCTGCATGTATATCTGTGTGAGGGTGTCAGATCTTGGAGTTACAGACAGTTGTGAGCTGCCATGTGGGTGCTGAGAATTGAACTGGGTCCTATGAAAGACCATTCAATGCTCCCAATGGTCTTACCATCTCTCTAGCCCCAAAATTAATCTTTAAAAAAAAGATGAAGATATTTAACGAACAGGGCAATACTTCTATTTCCTTGGACTATAGCTTCTAATTGAATATTGTGTTCTTATGGTTAATCTGTGATGTATATTACCTATAATTTTGTTGCTTAATACTGAACAATTTAACATAAAACTTATTGCTAGTTCTGAACAGTTTAAGAGACAGCAGAACCAATAACTTCAGTTTTCTACATGTTTTCATGCAGAAATTAGTATTTTTTGTAAACACTATTTTTCTCAACATCTTTGGTCAAAATGAACCATTAATTTGTACTACTTTAAGTACCAATACAACACTATTAGAACACTTGGAAACTATGATATACTATGGGAAATAGAATCATTCATTCATAAAAATGTTTCCTAAGCCCAAACACTACTACACTTTCTGGTAGATACACGTTAAACAAGGATTTTTAACTTGAGAGAGTTAATGGAATTCTCTTTGTGTAAAGATGTAGTCTAGTCATAAAGAATCCCAGTTCACTGTTGTGACAATGTTTTACAATTTGACTTAGAAAATTTTATTTTTTTCTAAGTTTTCTCCAAAGTAACACCAACTATATGCCAATTTAAATTAATGAATAAATTAAGTTGCATGGCTTTCATTTTATGTATTTTTCAAGGCACTGTAGAGTCTGTCTCCCCTGCCCCCTTCATTGTTTTATTTTTCAAGGCAGGATTTTTCTATGTAGTCCTGGTTGTCTTGGAACTCACAGAGATCTGCCTCCTCTGCCTCTGCTTCCTGAGTGCTGGGATTAAAGGTGTGTATCACCATACCTGGCTTGCACTATAGATTCTTATTGAAAACTTGAATTACGTAGATCTGCGCTGCCTACTCTAGTAAATCACTAGTTCCACATGACTATTCATATCTAAATGTCTTTAAAATAATATTGTCCAAAATTTAGTTACTAAACTGGGTAGTATTATAATGAACTATTGAAAATAAGAAGCAATCTTCAGAACATAAAGTTTAATATTTTTACCCTCTTATTTAATTTTTTGGTGTAGAAAATCAGTAAGAAAATTTTTTCAAGAGATAGTAAAACATAATACATGTGTAATTAACATTGCTCTCTACTCTAGAAAACTCATAGTTCCAGAATATTAAAAATGTGTTGTTATTATTAAAACAGTAGTGCTCTGCTTTCAAGTTAGGGATGGTATTTACAAAGCACTAAGATGGACACTATCAAGAAATAAAGGTTTTCTGCCTTAACACTGATCAAACTTATTAAGGAAGGTAGTTAAAAATCACAATGAATATGGAGTGCAACCATTTGGGAGGATATTAATAGATGTAACAAAAATAAATATCCACATCAGGTAACTGACATACTCAATATATTCTAAAAACAACATACTCACTTTACAAATATCTAATTTTTAAATGTTATCAAAAATTTCTCAATCATAATAAAAGCATTAAAATAAGAAAGAGTTAAGTATGAAGTACACATTTGAAAAAGTTAACATCAAAACTTTAGATTACGTAGTCAATTAAGTTTGAACTGAAATATACTTCCGTGGAACAAAATAAAATAGAATTCTAAGATAAATGTTTTGTTATTATCAAATATAGAGAAGTTCTCCAGGGTGTATTATAAAGCATAAAAATGATTTCAACTCCATTTTCAAATTATGCCTTGATTTTACTTTGACCCCTACATTTTAGACAATACAAAGGAAATGACCAAATCTCCAACAGTCTGATGCTATATAAGGTTAGACTCCTGAAATTCATTGGTTCTTCTTTCAATGACTTATGGCAAATTCAAATCAGAGGTAGTGTCCTTACGGGTGAGAAGGGTCTGGTGTTTGAATAGACTTGCTGATGCCCAGTGCTAGCAAACCCTATGGAGAAGAACAAACAGTAAGTAGTCATTACCAAGATGGAGAATACATGAGTAAGCCAATTTGGAAGATGTAGAGAATAACAGTAAAGAAATCATATATCACATCAATGCCCAAGCAATCAGTTTAGTACAGAAAAATAAAGATAAACTCAAGGGGATTCAAAACAACACTGTTTGTGAGGATAAAAACTTGAAAGATAACTGGGCCCAGGGGCACATGCTTAAACTCCTAGTACTTGAAGCAAGAGAATCAATTTTGAGTCATCTCAGGCTGCAAACTGAGACCCATCTTAAAAAAACGAAGCCATACCAAACTACACCATGACAATAACCACAAAGGAATCTAAAATCTCATCAGTAGGGAAATTCAGTGCAAATGATCAACCATAATAAATGACTTCTATAGCAGTTTAAAAAGCAAGCCAGTTTTCTGTACTGACTTGGGAAAAGCTCCCAGAAGTTCAATGAAGAGGTCTTGAGCATAGGCCAGTCTGAGCTACTACATTTCAAGGTTCTGTCACAAACAAAACAAGGCACAACTCTACTGGTATTATAATTTAGAACTATATTCAATCTATAGATCACTATCTTATCTGCATCAAATTCTCCCTCACTCCACTTCTCTCTCCTCTAAGGTCCTGCGGATCAAACCTTGGCCTTACATAATCTAAGCAAGCACTCACAGCTGGGCTGTGCCCCAGACCTTCTTTAGATCTTTTCAAAACTCTCAGCAACTTTACAGCTTTCAGTGTAAAATTCTGTGCACCTTTTGCTAGATATACTCTTAATGTTTTGTGATACTACTATAAATGGGAAATTTTAGATGTCATTCTGTATTTCCTGGGAGTGAAATGCATTGATTTATATCCATTTGCCCTTTATATCTACTTGTTTTTACTATTTTTTAAAATAATTTATTTTTATTTTATGTTCACTGATGTTGCCTGCATGTATGTCTATGTGAGGCTGTCAGATCTTTTTTTAAAGATTTATTTATTTATTTATTATGAATACAACATCCTGCCTCTATGTATGTCTGCACGCCAGAAGAGGGCACCAGATCTCATTATGGATGGTTGTAAGCCACCATGTGGTTGCTGGGAATTGAACTCAGGACCTCTGGAAGAGCAGTCGGTGCTCTTAACCTCTGAGCCATCTCTCCAGCCCTTGTTTTTACTATTAAACTAATTTTACATTCTCAGAGCAACATTTACTTAACTATACTATGATTTTTATATATTGCTTGATCTCATTTGGCTACATTTTAAAGAATTTCTGGGGCTGGAGAGATGGCTCAGCAGTTAAAAGCACTAGCTGTTCTTCCAGAAGACCCTGGTTCAATCCCAGCACCCACATGGCAGCTTACAACTGTCTGTTACTTCAGTTCCAGAGGAATCTGTTACCTTCACACTGATGCACATGAAGTTAAATAAATAATTTAAAAAAATTCTGCTGGGTGGTGGTGGTGCATGCCTTTAATCCCAGCACTCAAAAGGCAGAGGTAGGTGGACCTCTATGAGTTCCAGGCCAGCCAGGTCTATAAAGTGAGTTCCAGAACAAATAAAGCTACACCAAGAAACCCTGTCTCAAGAAAAAAAGGGATTTCTATGTATGTCCCTGAAGGATACTGATGGGTATGTATGTTTTCCTCATGCGATGGCACTGTAAGTTTTGGTATCAGGACTATGCTATGTCCATATAGTTGAAAGTCATTGCTCTCCCTATCTCTCAGTCTGTGCACTAACACTGTTACTTTCTTAAAAGCTGGCTGGGTTCCTTGGTACTATCTCCATAGTAACTGAGGATGCCTTTATCTTCTTCAGTCTTCTTTATCTCTGCTTCTAGTATACACACCTTCTATTATAAATCAGGACTGACTCTTTTCTAGGGTTTAGCCTTTTATTAATGCTATGTAGTAAGAATTTGTGTCAGACAGTTTTCACTTCTTTTCTCTCATCTGCCAATTGAGTCTGTTTTATTAACTGATTTTCCTTCTTGTTGTATCCTATTTTCTTGCTTCTTGCACTGTCTAGAAGTATTCTGCTACCAATTGGTAAATATAGCTGACCACTGTGGATGCCACACTAAGTGTTTGGGGTCTGTAATCTTCTCTAAAGAGCATGGAGCTTTGTTTTGGCAAACAATTTTATTATTTCTAGATAAACTTGATCATGCTTACTTTCTGGGAAAGTCTGTTAAGAAAGGGTCTAGAATAGCCTTTTCACTGGGGATAATTTAGCTTTCCTGCTAAGGAGAGAGACTTCTGCTGACCTGGGTATCAGAACAGTCTCTCTTACCTCCCCTGGTCAGCTCTGATGTACTGTGGCCCTGTGTGAGCACTAGGAATCACCCAGCTTGTAGCCTGTTTGGTATGTGTGCCCATACCTTGCATACAGGTAATTTGACATTTAGCAAGGACTCAAGAAAATCCCTATGCTGACTTATGCAGATTTTTAACAACATAGCTCTTTCCTCTGAGGAACTCCTCCTTCTAATTTCCAACTCCTTTGGATTCCCTGAACTTTCATATTTTTCATCCTTGCCAGTACTCCAAATGTATCGCTAAGTAAAAAGCCAGAGAGAAAGTATAGGAGTAATCAAATCCTATCTGAGATGATGGTGTGGTCTTATGCTTCTATTGGTCAAAGTTTAAAAGCAGTTACATTTTGGGGCTGGAGATATGGCTCAGCCGTTAAGAGTACTGACTGATCTTCCAATTCCCAGCAACCACATGGTGGCTCACAACCATCTGTAATGAGATCTGGTGCCCTCTTTGGGCAGACATGCAGGCAGAACACTGAATACATAACAAATCTTTTAAAAAAAAGCAGTTACATTTTTTTGTCTAGGTCTTTTTTGTTTATGAATCAAAAGAGCAAATTCGGTCTCTGTGAGTCCTTCACAGTCAAAAGCAGATGTTCTATACATAATATTTAACAACTTGACCTTTTTACTCAATTTATCATGGTCATTATTCTAGTTAAAAGTTATCAGTCTGCCAGGTGGTGGTGGCGCACACCTTTAATCCCAGCACTCGGGAGGCAGAGGCAGGTGGATCTCTGTGAGTTTGAGACCAGCCTGATCTACAAGAGCTAGTTCCAGGACAGCCTCCAAAAGCCACAGAGAAACCTTGTCTCGAAAAACCAAAAAAAAAAAAAAAAAAAAAAAAAAAGCTATCAGTCCTCGTTGGGCAGTGGAGGCAGAGGCAGGTGGCAGATCTCTGAGAGTTCGAAGCCAGCCTGGTCTACAAAAGCTACACAGAGAAACCCTCTTGAAAAATTAAATAATAAAAAAAAAGCTATTCATAAAATCCACATATATTTGTACTGACTAGTCTTATGTCAACTTGATACAACCTTTAGTAACTGAGAGGATGGAACCTGTAGAGTATTTTCTTAATTAGTGATTGATGGGGGAGGGCACTGCCCACTGTGGGTGGTGCCACCCCTGGGCGGGTAGTCCTGGGTTCTATAAGAAAGAGGCTGACTAAGCCAGGGAGGAGCAGCGCAAGTGCACCCCCACAGCCTGCTTCAGACCCTGCCTCCAGGCTCCTACCCCGTTTGGTTCCTGCTCTGAGTTCCTTCAGTGATGGACTACAGGTGACAGCCAAATCAAACCTTTCCTCCCCAACTTGTTTTTGATCCCGGTATTTCTTCATAGCAACAATAACCTGAAGTAGGACAACATTTTAGAGAATAGATACTTAAGAATCATCTCTAACTACTACTCTTGTTTCATAATTCTTTGTCCCTATGTCCTTAAGCTCACAAGGCTCTTAAGGCACTGTTTTCACGTGTCCATTTCCTCTCTGTCCATGCAACTGACAGAGTATTTACTGATGGCTGCGTAGGTGAAGTGCTTCCCATGCAAGCGTGAGCACTGGAGTTAGGATCCCTAGCACCTAAATGCTGGGTTGGTAGGCAATGACGGCCATCCTGTAATCTTCGCCCTTGGAAGGCAGACAGGGGCTCTCTGGAGTAAGATGGCTAGCTAAATTTTGTGCTCAAGTAAGAGACTGGCTTAATATATAAGATGGTGAGGACCTGAGGAAAACATCTATGTCAACCTCTGGCCTCCTCATATGAACACACATACAATCTCTCTCTCTGTCTCTCTCTCTCTCTGTCTCTCTCTCTCTCTCTCTCTCTCTCACACACACACACACACACACACACACACACACACACACACACACAAAGAGGATCTCCACCTCCTTGGGCACCAGGTACACATGTGGCACACACATGTCATGGATGCAGAGCTGTCATGCACATAAAGTAATAACTGTTGGTAGTTTTTAAAGCATAACAATTTACTTAAAAATACTATGATCACATTTCCTTTTGGAGCTAGGTTATCATATAGTCCAGGCTGGTCTTCTACTTACTATGTAGTTGAGGATAACACTATAGAAAATTTACTTATAGATTCACGTCACATTTTAAAGATTACGGTATGGTTCCTGATCTACCCTACCTCCATGTGCTGGAGTAACAGGCACGTACCCCACAGCCAGCCTACCATCACTATTTCTGTATGCTGTGTCCTTCATTATTATTCAAGTTAGTTTCAGAATCACTCAAGGAAACTTAAATTTTCTTTCTTTTTTTGAAACAGGGTTTCCCTATGTAGCTCTGGCTGTCCTGGAACTCACTCTGTAGATCAGACTGTCCTCGAACTCATGGTTCCACCTGCCTCTGCCTCCTGAGTGCTGGGAATAAAGGGGTGAATGCCACTAAGCTTGGCAAAGGTTAAATTTTCAATGCTCAAGTTTCTTATATAAAATAGACAGTATTATTAAATAACCTACAAATATCCTCTCATCCTCACACACTATTGTTAAACTCTATTGCTAAGAATAGTAACAGGGTGAGGGTGGGGCTGACGAAACGGTTCAGCCGTTAAGAGCACTTTCATTCTCAGCATGCACATAGTGGCCCTGCAACTCCAGTCCCTGGGCATCTGATGCCCTCTTGTGGCATTAGACATCCATATGGTGCAGACATACACGCAGACATAGCATCCATGCACATAAGAGTAGTGATAAGGGCAAAAGTGTGTATAGTATAGAGCCCCCCCACCTCGGTAGGTCTGGCTGGCTGTCCTGGAACTCATTATATAGACTAAGCTGGGTTCACACTCACAGGACTCTACCTGCCCCTCCCTTGAGGGCCAGAACTAAGGATATGCCTCCATGCTCATCTCTTCCTTGTATTTTTAATCCACAGCTGGTTGCAAGGGCATGGAAGCACAGATGCAGAACCCACATATACAAAAGCCACTGTTCTTAAACGCTCAAATAAAAAAGCTGCATTTTCCCAAAAGCCAACTGCAGAGTACTTTTAACAGATCACTTTCTGACTAAGCCTGTAAGAACTTAGTTTAAGACTAATGAAGCATTTCCTCCTCACCTGGTTGCAAGTGTCAGACAATGAATGTATAGCTTCTGAGAACATGCTTGCTGAACCCGTATAAATCCAGGCCAGGAATTTAAAAAAGCAGTTTAAGCCATTACTAGAGAGAAAGAAAAAAATTTAACATGTTTGAATTAAAACTTTCCATCAAAAGTTTATTTAACTGACTTTATACCAGATTCTATTAAAAGTAAATTAAAAAGAACTTCTTACAGTTCAGGTATAAATATAAAAGTACAGATTATGATACCATTAAGAGTGTAAGAGCCTATGCTATATGTTGAAGATTTTGTCTTAATACTATGTATATTATTCCTCAGGTAATCTTAAGTACCACTATGGTTTTAATTGTCATCTGTAGACTAATAATTTGCAACTCTAAATCTCTAGCCTAGCTCTCCCCTCTGAGTTTGAGACCAATACACAGTAACAATAATACTTATCAAGTACATATTACGTACTAGGTGGTATGCTGATTAGTTTATATGGTATATACTTTCCTCACAAGGAAGGCTATAACTATTATCTCTACTCTACTGGGAGAAAGAACTAATCTTGTTGACCATCTCCTCGTGGACTCCCTTACAGACACTTTAAACTAAAAACCAAAGATCATTTTCTCTCCTCCTGTCTTGCTCCCATTTCTGGTGTCTGTCAGAGCAACATTTACCCATTGTCCAAGCAGAAATCTGGACACCTTCTTGACAACAGTTCTAAGTATTCTAACTAGATAGCATCATCTTTAGTCCTTACTGGAAATTCTTTCCTCTAGTCTAGGGTCCTCTAATCCTCCAAGGATCGTGTTTATATATTTCCAAGTCCTCTTATAATTTCTGACATGTATTTTTAAGATGTTAAAAAAAACTACTGATTTACAAAATTCTTGCTTTTATATAGCCTGTCTTAGAATTTCTACTGCTGCAATGTAACACCCTGACCAAAATGCCCGTTGGGGAGAAAAGGGTTTATTCTGCTCACACTTCCACATGGCTGTTTATCACCAAAGAAAGTCAGGACAGGAACTCAAGCAGGACAGGAACCTGCAGGCAGGAGCTGATGCAGAGGCCATGAAGGGGTGCAGCTTACTGGCTTGCTTCCCCTGGCTTGATCAGCCTGGTTTCTTATAGAACCCAGATCACCATCCCAGAGATGGTACCACCCACCATGGGCTGGGCCCTCCCCCAGTGATGACTAATTGAGAAAATGCCTTACAGCTGGATCTCACAGAGGCTTTTCCTCAGCTGAGACTCCTTCCTTTCTGGTGATTCTAACTTGTGTCAAGTTGACATACAAAACCAGCTATTACATATCTTAAAATTAACTAGCAAAACGGATAAAAGGTTAAAAAAATAGGAATCAAAAAGCCAGAGGGGAAAAAAGGAGCAATTATGAAAACATTGTTTCTTCCAAAATTAAGTGGGAGAAAATACAAACACAGATATACCCCTTAGCTGTGACCTGAGCTGACCCGGGCAACAATGGTCAATGCAAGTTTAAAAAAAAATGACTCCAATTAGTATTAGTACAAATGTCCATAATCTTCCCTACCACTTCACTGGCCATGACATAGCTCAACTTCCTCCTAAAATAACAAAAGCTAAATGTCAGCTCTATGCATCTAGCCCCAGGTAATACATGTATACATTCAAGGACACATATTAAAAGGTATATATTTCTACTTTAAAAGCTCTCTGTTTTGCTGGGCGGTGGTGGCGCACGCCTTTAATCCCAGCACTCGGGAGGCAGAGGCAGGCGGATCTCTGTGAGTTCGAGGCCAGGCTGGACCGACAGCCTCCAAAACAGAGAAACCCTGTCTCGTAAAAACCAAAAAAAAAAAAAAAAAAAAAAAAAAAAAAGCTCTGTTTTCCAAAACTCACATGCAGATAGCAACCATCACCACTTTTCCTGGTCCTTTAAGGAACACGGACATGGCTCTGGATCGTGGCTGTAAGACAAGAACAAAGATTTTCAAAGTCTCTCTGAGAAGCACGTAGGAAGTAGATCTGACACAGCACCAGATTTATCCTCTTTGGAAACCTATAAACAAGGCTTACTTTTAAATTCTTTTCATCCAAACTTTCTCTTTAAAAGGTGTAGTCTGGGCTTCCAGAGATGGAAGAGCATGTACTATCTATCCTCGCAGAGAACACAAGTTTGGTTCCCAGTACCTATGTTTGGTGGATCACAACAGCCTGTAGCTCCAGCTCCCAGTGATCTGACAAGCTCTCCTGTCCTTTGAGGGCACCCGCATCACATGCACATCCCGACATACACATATATGCATTAAGTAAAATACATTTCAAAGTATATAGCATTGGGGGACTTTTCCAAACCCTCTGATGTTGATTTTTTTCCTAGAATTCCAAGCCTGCCCACTTCTAGAAAAGATCAGAAGTGGCTACAGAGAAATTAGCACTAAAATGATTAAAATGTTTTAACCTGAAGTTCACATGCTCTAAAATTTTCCATTTCTTAACCAACTTGTCCACTTTAAAGAAGGAACAGTGAAAGGTAACAAACAAGTCTGCTGCTCTGGTTTAACTGACTGTTCTCTCAATACCAAAACCTTCAGTGAAAATTGTTTAACTGCCTAACAGACCAACAAGTAGAGAAACATTCAGGAGAAACATCTCTCTGAGACATTTTACCCTGTTGTTACTGAAATAGACACTTCCATGCTTCTTCTCACTCCCCCCACCAAATGTGATCTAAGTCTAGCCCATTCCTTTCCATACCCAACCAAGCATCACCTTTTCTACACAAAGCTTTCTTGATCACCCACAGAATCAATCTACTGTAAACGTACTACTGTACTTTACATCTCTATTAAATTTACAGTTATACTTAATGTCATTTATTCACTATGCTTATTGTGCAGCTACTGTATAGCTGACATATTTCTAGGTGCTAGGATCCCTACTAATGAATTTGAAATATAAAAGGGCTCATAAAGACTTTAATGGAGTAGGAGTGGGGGGCACCTGGAGAGATGGCTTGGTAGTTAAGAGCAGTGACTCTTTTCCAGAGGACCCGAGTTCAAGTCCCAGTACCCACATGGCAGCTCACAACTGTCTGTAACTCGAGTTACAGGGGACCTGATGCCTATGGCAAAACACTAATGTATGTAAAAAAGCAAAAAAGAATCTAATGGGAGCTAAGAAGATGACTCAATGTTAAAAATCTTACTATGTATGTTGGCTAGTTTTATGTTTACTTGATACAACCTGAGAGGAGGAAGCCTCAATTAAGTAAATGTCAGAAAAGAAAAAAATAAGAAAATGTCTCTATAAGATTAGGCTACAGGCAAGCCTGTATGGCATTTTCTTAATTAGTGATTGATGGGTTGAAGGGCAGCCCACTGTAGGTGATGCCATCCCTGGGCTGGTGGTCCTGTATTGTATGTAAAAGCAGGATGCTGGGCAGTGGTGACGCACACCTTAGATCCCAGCACTTGGGAGGCAGAGGCAGGCGGATCTCTGTGAGTTCGAGGCCAGCCTGGTCTACAGAGTGAGTTCCAATCAAGACAGCCAGGGCTACACAGAGAAGCCCTGTCTCAAAACACCAAAAAAAAAGGAAAGAAAGAAAGAGAAAGAAAAGCAGGTTGCTCAAGCCAGGAAGCAGCACCCTCCATGGCCTCTGCATCAGCTCCTGCCTCGAGATTCCTGCCCTGCCTGTTTCTGCTCTAATTTCCTTCAATGACAAACAATGGTACAGAAGTATAAGTCAAATAAACCCTTTCCTCCCCAACTGACTTTTTGGTTATGGTGTTTTGTTGCTGACTAACACTGACTAAGACACTACGTAAGCATGAAGACCTGAATTTGAACCTCTAACAACCATGTTCATACAGTGTGCATCTGTAATACAAACATTGGAAAGCAGACACAAAAAGGGATCCTGGGGGCTTGCTGGCAAATTAGTCTGGCCTAATCAGTAAACTCTGGGTTCAGTGGGAGACCCCATGTTTTAAAGGTCAGAATGACAAAACAATGATAAGTATTGAAGCTGTATCTCCATACCAATTAAGCTCGTTTTACATTATTACAAGTATCGCCAGCAACTCAGATGACTTGAGTCACTGGGCAGTAGAAGGGAAGGACAGACTCCTGCACACTGTTCCCTGACCTCCTTAGAAGCACCATGGCGTATGCACACATGCACACTAAGTACATAAATATTAAGTTTTTACAATTACCACAGTCATCAGAGCGGAAAGCTTCTCAAAGCAGGACTGGTGCATTTCAAAGCAATACTGTGGCTGTGGACTAACCTACTCGGGGAGACAAGGTACTTTCAAGATTCTGAAGGACTATCCTAAGAAATTCACAAAGCCAGGATGCCGAGAAAAGGCATAAGAAAGCAGAACCAATTATAGGGAAAATGATAAAGGGGCATTGCAAAATTAAATTATCAGAGAGTGAGCTACTGCTCTGATGAGCCAATGCTTTTGGTAAACCAAGGACATTGTGACTTTATTTGCTGTTATTGGAGTTCCTGTGAGACAAAAGTAGTCTAACAGGAAAAGTGTCTGCATCCAAAGCAAAAAAATTAAAAGGACAAGAGTAATTGTAGCAAGCAGGACTGTCTATATGAACAGATATAAGAGGCAGATGTCACCAGCCTATGTTATTATACACTATAAGTAAGAGACAGTCACCTTGCAACACCAGGAGAAATTCTAGATCCTAAGACATGAGACGATTGTGACCTTCAGACCTCATCTTCAGTGCTGCATTCAGAGAGGGCTCAGAGAGGAACCAGAATCAAAATGAATGGAAAGAGGGGTAGCTCAAGTTAAGAGCCAACTACTGTGTCAGCTGTGTTCAACTATGAACTGTGTGAAAAGGAATCAAGTCTCAAATGCTACCCAGAGAAAAGACAAACTGCATAGGCAGCCTTTGCCCCAGGGGTGCATTAACTTGGTTTGTTGTGAAAAAACCTTACTCTTAGTTGCTGCTAGCTCTAATTTGTGGCAATCATCCTGCCTTAGCCTTTCAAGTGTTGGTATCACAAGCATGGATTATGATGCCCAGTTATGGCATTTAACTTCCTTTTATGAGAGAGAGAGAGAGAGAGAGAGAGAGATTCTTTTGAGCATGACCTCACTAAGTAGTCATAGCTGGCCAAGAACATAAGGAGATCCTCCTAATTCTGCCTCTTACGTGCTAGAATTACAGGACACAAACCATCAGACATACCAACTATTAACTCCCTGATAGGAGATCCCTCGCAGCCAAATTGAAATAGGAAGTCTACCTGGACATAGATGACTTTGTACCTTGGATGTTGTTTGTGACTTCAGAAAGAGCCATTTCAATGGGATGAAAACCCAAGTGGACTGAATTTAAGAGACAAAAGATGAAAACTTTCTATATTTCTCCTAATACTAATTCTTTCTTGTAGAAAGGACAGTATTTAGGAGTATGTGTAGATAACAGTTTATTATCTGATGATGAAAAAATGAGGTCCTCAATGTCTGGTCCAACTTGAGACCCACACCCCAAGAAGGAACCCAAATCTGACACTGCCTATATGTCCAGGAACTAGAGGCAGGACAGCCCAGAGACCCAAGATAGAATCAAACACAACTGACTAAAAAACAAAAAAACAAAAACAAATGATTCCTAATGATACTCTATTATACTCATAGATTGATGCCTAGCCCGATTGTCCTCAGAGAGGTATCATCCAGCAACTGATGAGAGCAGATGCAGAGATGCACAGCCAAACACTAGGCAGAGCCAGGGCACTCCAAAGAAGATGGAGAAGAAGGACTGTAAGAGACAGAGGGGATGAGGACACAAGAACACAGTCCACAGAATCAACTAAGCAAGGCCCATAAGGCCTCGCAGAGACTGAAGTGACAAACATGGAGCCTGTATGGCTATGAGCTAAGTCCTCTACATGTACCTTACGGCTGTGTAGTCTGGTGTTCTTATGGAACGCCCAGTGATGGGAGTGTGGCAGGGGTCCTTTATCTGTAAGTGGGGCCCTTTTATTCCTACTGGGACGCCTTGGTTCATGCCCAGTCTTACTGTATCTTGTTAGGCCATGTTTGGTGGATATTCCTTGGGGCCTGCTCTTTAAAAAGGGAAACAGAGGAGGAGTGGATCTGGGGGAGAGGGGATGTGAGAGAAGGCCTGGGAGGAGTGGAGGGAAGGGAAACTGCAATTGGGATGTAATGCATGAAAGAAGAATAAAAGTTTAAAGAAGAAAATGAGGTATACTTTCATCAAATTAAAAATGGTCTTTGATTTACAGGATTAGGTCTCTATAAGCCATCACCATTTTAAGTACTGTGGATTGAAAATGCATCTAATCCATCTAACCTAACCATACAGCATACCAGCCTGCCCCAACATGTTCAGAAGTCTTTGATTTGCTTAACACTGAGTAAAATCATATAGCACAAAGCTATTGTAATGAAATACTGACTATAACAAACTGAATACTACATAGAAATTAAAAACAGAATGGCCATATGCTTATGATCCACACCATCAAGTCAATAAATTACAAAGCGAACCCCTTTATGTCAGGAGTCATTTGTACACCTGTTTTGTTTTTCAGTGAAGTATGAAGTAGGGTTGGTAGCTGAAAGGCAAAAGGCGAGGCTGTAGAAGTTTGGGAATAGAGGCAAAGGCATACACTACGCCATTTTGCAGTGAGACAATATACCAATGAAGTCACACAAAATGTCTACTGACTGTGTACAGCCAAATAATAAAAAACAATCAAACTGGCTGTGTAATTTTCTCTTTCAAGGGATGCCCTCATATGCAAAAGCAGAGAGCTGGCAGCCTTAGTGTGACTAAGAACTAGGAGTAGAAGGAGTGACGACAAAGGCAATTAAGGGGCTTTTATATACAGCCATATGTCTGTGTATATATGTTTTATGTATGTATATGCATATGCATGAGAGATACAAGATATGAAAGACAGAAAATCCTTCTAAAAAGTAAGCAAACAAGTTCCTTTAACTATATATGCTTAAGAATTCTAGGAAACTCATGTCATAATTTTAATTTCAAGAAAACTAAATAAATGAATAGATGATAGTACAGTTAATTATAGTATGCTCAAGAAAAATGTTGGATTATGATCAAAGACTTGCTAGAATTTCTTGGATTATGATCATAGACATTTCATACTGTATTGAATTTGTCAAATAACATGTACGCATAATTAAGAAGATACCCTTACCTTTGTGTTGCCCAAGAAATCACCATATTCTCTTAATATTCTTTGGTTTCTAAATAGCCCTATAGGAACCAGAAGATAAGTCTAAGTCATATACAGTTTACTAACCAGTCTATATTAATACAAATATTCTTTTAAAAAGACTGTGTTAAATGGTTGAGAGTGTAGCTGAGTAAGTAGAGTGCTTGCTTACCATGTACAAAGTTCACTACCCAGGGCTAGCCACACACCTATAATCTTAGCATCCAGGGTGGGAAAACAGGAGAATCAGGAGTTTTAGGTCATCCTTGGCTACATAATAGATTTGAGGCTAGCATGGGTTATGTTATGTGAGACCCTGACCATGCCTCTCATCTGAAGGAAGTATCCTACAGATTTCTTCCCACGGATATGGAAAAATAGGATTGGATTGCACTGGCATTTATGAAGAACAAGATGCACAAATATATGCATATGCATGGTACCTTCCCATTTACATCATGTTAAAATGTGTGTGTACAAGCTGCTTGGAGAGATGGCATAACAGTTAAAAAAGCTTGCTGCTCAATCATGAGAACCAGAGTTTAGATCTCAGCACTTTCACTCATGTCCGGTAGCTCATAAACGCCTATAACTCCAAAACTAAGGGACTGGATGCCTTCTTCAAGACTCTAAGGGCACCTGCACACACATATGCATACACTCACAAAGACATGCACACATACAAACACATAAAATAAATCTTTTACAAGTGTATATGTAAACTTTAAAATGTATTGGAAACATTCTGAAAGGACTATCTATCAATAACAGTTATCTCTAGGAAGGAAAATAAAAGCATTACAGAAAAAGAAAGAAAATATCACTCTATATTTCTATATTTGTTTGGGAGTGTTGGGAAATCAAATTGCATTTTTTTTTCCCAAGACAGGGTTTCTCTGAGTAGTTCTGTAGACCAGGCTGGCCTCAAACTCACAGAGATCCACCTGCCTCTGCCTCCCGAGTGCTGGGGTTAAAGGCATGCACCGCCACCGCCCAACAAAACTGCATTTTTGAGTCCTAAATACAAACAATACTTTTGGCATCAATAAATACATTTATGTAATTCCAATCTTGCAAAAACAAATCTTACAGTGCCCCAAACCGAAACTCTAACCACTGAACTCAGTTCTCTTAGTCTTACTTGTGTCTGTAGTTGAAAGACACTTTCTTACGCATGTTGGACTTTAATAAATATTTGCTGAATGAATGAATGAATGAGGTGGTTGAATCAATACTTTTATAACAAAGTACTAACTACCACTTTCATAACGGTAATCTTGAAATCAGATCCAAAGTATTTCTAGTATTGTTCACCAGAAACTGCAAAGTGTTTCTTCACTTTCTCTTATCAGCTTAGAAAGCTATCAAGAAAAAACCAGACAGATTCTGTTTTAAAAATAATTCCCACAGTAAAAACTGGTACTTGCTGAAGCGAGAGTCAAACTACAAAGTGCAAGCACTAGAGACTACCTAGCTATCAGGGGACAGTTCTCACCTACATGTTACTTTGCAAAACATCCAGCCTTAAATTAGAAATACTTACGTTCTCTGTATTCTATTTCTGCTTCTTTACGCAATTTTTTCTCCCTGGCAAGAGCTTCAAGGCTTCCCCAAACTTCCAAAGCTCTGTGTATACATACACACACAAGGTCACCACCAAGAAGCACTTTAAATTACTTTATTATAATTGTACTTAAATATACATGAACTGTAACTATATAAGAAGCTTATTTAAAAAAAAAAGCATAAGGTTTTCTCAGACCCCGCCCCCCAAAAAAGCACTTAAACCTGAGTCACAACTAAGGAATTCAAATAAACACATCTGCAAATGTGCTTATAAGTGAGGACACATTTACTTAACTAGTATATGTAAGAACAAATTGAGGATAAAAAAGAAAGCATCGTTTTAGAAACTTGCCACTTGGAAGATTCTGTTTAAATGTTTTTATAACCCCAAGCCCAGCATGCACTCTGCTGCGAAGGAATTACACTCTTACTTTGCTTCCACATCTGACCTCAAGAATACAGTAAAGGACTCAGTATCATTGTGGGGACTTCGTCGTCTGATTTTTCGAAGTTGTTCTAAATCACTGGAGAAATAAATGTGTAGAAATTATTCAGATGACACCTATGGCTCATATGTTAAGGACAGTAATCAACTACAGTGACCCCCATCTTGAAAGATAGGCTCTGTAAAGTTTCTAAACATCAGTGTAAAGATGGCATTTTTAATACAAAAAAGTAGTCTGGAGACAATAAAAAAGATAATTACTGAAGAAGAACACCAAACTACATAGATTCCACTCCCATACATATAACCCTGAATGCACAGGGTCCCATTAGAAACTTGGTAGAGTCAGACCTGATCACTACTTGGTTGGGAGACTCCCTCACTGATACTTGTACTATGGGCATAACCACTGGCACTTTTAAAATATGTCAAAATCAGAATATATACAAGTATCGTTCTTCTTTTAAGAGTTTAAGTGCTAGCAAGATGGCTCAGCAGGTAAAGGCCTTTGCTAGCAAGCCTAATGGCCTGAGTTGGGTCCCTCAGACCCACATGGTAGGAGAGAACCAACTCCAACAAGTTTTCCTCTAACCGCCACATATGCACCAGAGCATATGCACCCACATATACACACAAGCACAATTAATTAAATTTCCACAAGTTACATATGTAATCACTTTCTTTCTCTCTAATTCTGAAAGGTTTATATGTCCATCAAGTCACTATTAAAGTTATTTTATAGTTAATCACTAGTGGTCTTGTAGAAATTCTGTGATAGCAATGAACTATTATCTTCATGCTAATTTTGAAAATTAATAAAAAGGTAAAGGGCTATATTATTTGCACAGAGTACTACATTGAAAGAAATTACTGTACCTGGATTTAAGACAGAACTCATTTATTGCTCTTACTCCAGTGATGAAATTATTCTTAGTGTATTTTGATCCATACTCCCTTTTCTTAAGGACTGCTTTGACTAAACCAGAAACAAAGAAACATGTAAGTGCACACATTGAAAGCCCTACTGGAATGGAAAGTGAATACTTGTTGAGTTCCACAGACATTTTCCTGATGTATAAGATGGTACTAAGGAAAAAGAAATGTCTCCTCCAGTATAGAAAACTAGGATGGATCATAAATCTAGTGTCTATCTCTATAACTCATCTCTAATTGATGCTAAAATACCAACACCTTGTTTCAGTACTGTTCTATCTAAAGCATTAAAACAATTTAAGTTGTTTTGGGTCTATGTGCAAATGAAGTTTCAACAAAAATTACAGGATAATTCAGTGTTTTATAAACTGTGGAGTGAAACCAGCATTCATAACAAATCAAACCAGAAAGTAATAAGGGATACTGACTATAGAATAGGAACTTTTATAAAATGTTTCGATTCCCTTATATATAATCATTTGTGTTTTCTGGGTCATTAAGCAACATTTCTTGTTAAAAATAACTTAAGGCCACTTGATAATTTCACACAAGGCTGAAGAGAACTAAGAAACTACAGTCAAAAATTACAAGAAGTTTACAAATTATAGGAAAATATTGCCTTCTACAAAACTACTAACTGTTGGGTATCAAACTGCCAGACATAAAACTATGATACTAATTTGGTACAGATTATAGTTTGTGTGTTAAAAAAAGCATATAAGCTGGGTGGTAAGAGCACATGCCTTTAGTCCCAGCAGAGAGAGGCAAAGGCAAGCAGATCTCTGTGAGTTCAAGGCTAGTCTGGTCTACAAAGCAAGTTCCCGGACAGCCAGGACTGTTACACAGAGAAACTCTGTCTCAAAAAACAAACAAACAAAAAACACAAAAACAACATAAAAAGTAAAACATATAGAATAAGACTTTCTGTCTCATAACATAAATAACTTAAGCAAACATCTGAACAAGATTAAGACAACAACAGTTTGTGTTCTGTGTTAACTGTCACCTACTCACTCCAGATCAGACATTGGTCTCTCAATCCCAGTTTTCTATTTTACTTCCAAATTGAAAGTGCAAAATTAAGTCTAAAATGACTCACTTCTGTGGAGAAAAAAAGATCCTCTGAAAACAATAATACATCAGCACTAAAATGCACAATACATTTTGCTAAAAACATTTCATGAATGAAGTCTAAAAACCAAAAGTATATGAAGTATATGAAGGCATCCCGATAACTTTTTGCCTGCATTTCAGGTCTCTAAAACTAAAATTCTGGGTATGAGATGAAAGGAAAATTACATCTCTCCTTAAAAGGATTCATTCTTTAAAAAAAAAAATCCTTCAAAATAGCTAGTAATTCCTTTGGTCTATCCCAGTTCAGATTGTGGATGGTTGCAGTGGTCACTGCTATTCCAGCACTATTGTGTGTGTGTGTGTGTGTGTATGTGTGTGTGTGTGTGTGTGTGTGTGTGTGTCTGTGTGTCTGTGTGTTGGGACCTCTGACAGTCTGCAATCACAGTAAAGTCACATGAACACAGTCTAAATGTTGATGCCTCTTGATTGCTTAACTATCTGCATGTGTTTATTTTTTATCATCTTATAGAAGTAAGCTGAATGTCAGAGGGTTAGGTCACCTTCTATTAGACAGCTAGGAAGTGTGAGAACCAAAACTGAGCGTGTTTTGTCCAACACCGCATCACACAGACCTATTGACTTCATGAATTGATAGTCAAACTTCACCTGAATTTAAGCAAACTATAGCTGAAGGTACTGGCCTCTTGTTCTTTAATAACACTGCTTTTCTAAAAATAATCAAAATTCTAAAAATAATAAAGTTTGGTTCCTTACACTTTTAAGTTATTTGTCAACAAATGCAAGATAAACTTCAACATCAAGTAGCATATAAAAGAATAAAAATTTATGGCCAATCTATTTAAAATAAAAGCAAACCATAAGTACATTCTTAGAATAACGTTAAAGACCTCCACATAAATTTTGTATGTTTATGTACCCACATACTAAAACATCAAATAATATATATTTACCTCTTACTTGGAGAGGATCTTGCTTAAGTGGGGCTTTGAGTTCTGCGCCTATGTTTTCTGCTGTAAAGTTTATTAAAACAAGTTTACATTGAAGTTTTCCAACAAAACTGTAACTTATTAATCTAATCAAGCAATATATAACACTGATCATAATATCACAAACTATTTTAATTCATTCTATAAAACATGAGTGTCAAACTTCATAAAAAGCCATTTATCCCTTCACTAATAAACTACAGGAGGAAAGGCATGGAATCATTTCAAGAATTAAATAAAGCTCAGCATTCACACACACACAGCTAAGCCTTTCAGAAAACTGACAAAACGAGTTGTTTTAAAAGGTAAAACAAACCTATGACATACTCTGTCTAATAGTGAAAGTGCAGGTACATTTAAAATAGGAAAACAAAGGTACAAAGAATCCTTCCATTACTTTAGAGACAACAATCAATAAAGATAAGATGTCTATTAAGTCATATTAGACAACTGTAGCTCCATTCAAACCCCTAAAAGCCACTAATAAAGGTAAAAGATAAAAAGAAACTGGAATGTCCCTCCCACTATAAGCAAAAGAAATACTCATAAATACAAATTCAAATACCAGTGCCTTACAATTCCCTGCTGTAGACATACAGACTACTGTTATGATAAAGATCTCTTTTCTTTATATGAAGCAGGATCTCACTACAGAGCCCAGAATGGGCTCAAATCCACAATGTTCCTGCCTCAGCCTCTTGAATGAGGAAATTACAGGAGCATACCACCAGCCCAACAAGAAAGTTTGTAAGCAGGATATAAACAACATAAAGGGAAAAATCAGTAAATTAAAACTCAAAATCTATTCAACAAAAGATCCTGTGGGGGTGGGGCTGGAGAGATGGCTCAGCAGTTAAGAGGACTGGCTGCTGCTCTTCAGAGTTTGGTGCCCAGGACAGGGTGGGTGGCTCACAACTGCCTGTAGCGCCAGTATAATGCCAGGATGTGCTATATTATCACCTTGAAAATCACCAAACCACACAAATACACCTCCTCTGGCCCCCCCACAAGCACCTGTACATACATACACACAAATAAAACAATAAATCTTTTCTTTCTTTTTTTTTTTTTTTTTTTGGTTTTACGAGACAGGGTTTCTCTGTATTGTTTTGGAGGCGTCGGTCTAGCCCGGCCTCGAACTCAGAGATCCGCTTGCCTCTGCCTCCCGAGTGCTCGGATTAAAGGCGTGTGCAACCACCACCTGGTAAAACAATAAATCTTTTACAAAGGAAGGAAAAGCTTCAAATAGGAAAAAATTATTTCCAACTAGAGTCACAAGGACTAGTATTAAGACTACTTTAAAACCTCCTCCAGACCAATAAGAAAAAGTTCATTAAAATAAGCATTAGAACAAACATGCATAGAAAAACAATTATGCACTACCATTAGATATATGAAAAAGTGATTATTTCATTAAGTGAATCCAAACAATTCCATTTTATAACTGTTATGCTAGTGAAAATGAAAAAATCACAAAACCCAATCTGGTAAAGGTCCAGAAGGAGGGCTGGAAAGATGGCTCAGAGGTTAAGAGCATTGGCTGCTCTTCCAGAGGTCCTGAGTTCAAGTCCCAGAAACCACATGGTGGCTCACAACCATTTGTAATGATATCTGGTGCCCTTTTCTGGTGTGCAGCGATATATGCAAGCAGAACAGTGTCTACATAATAAATAAATAAATCTTTAAAAAAAATGGTGCAGAAGGCTACTGATGGGAACAGGCACAAGTACCTTCAAAACTATGACCCAGTAAATTCTTCCAGGTCAATAGAGGAAAAAAAAATATCCTTGCACCAGGGCATCAGAGGAGAGGAATGTGGTATTCACAATAACACTCTGTTCTGTTTTAAAACTACAAACAACAAAAGGCCCACCAGCAAAAGAACAAACTGTTGGTCATTTTGTATGCAGTGGTGACAAACATAATAATGGCTATCTTTCTTTAAGTCTCCACTGTGGGCCCAACATTTTTGTTGTATCAACTTCTTTAACTCACACAACAAACACCTTACAGTATATGCTATATTATCACCTTGAAAATCACCAAACCACACAAATACACCAATAATCCAGATAAATCTAACAACAACAAAAAAACCTTAGTGAAAACACAAAAACTCAAAGAATACATGGAAAGCTGCCACAACGAAGTTCAAAACCAGACTAAACTAAGTAATTTAGAATACTCAGTATGCTAAACTATTCCCTTCACTTCCCTTTTGCAAGCTTTATTTACTTATTTATTATGTGAGATGTGTATGCTTTCATGAGTCCATGACCGCTACATGCATGCAGGAGCCTGTGGAATCCAGAAGGGCACCTGGTCCCCTGGAACTGAAATTAAGGCTATGAAGCCACCTGATGGTGCTGATGCTGAATCTGAGTCCTCCACAAGGGCAGCACGTGCTCTTAACCATGAGCCGAATCGCGAGCAATTCCTCATCTAGCCTTTTTAAAACTAATTTTTAAATTTAAATTAGAAACAATCTTATCATCTAGCTTTTTTAAAAACCAAGGTACTAAAGCAAAAAATTCAAGATAATGACTTGAACACACATGGCAAATGCAAATCAGAGCTGGGTGTTATCAAGGAGAAGTTCTTAGGCTGATTAGTAAATTCCAAGATTATAATTTTATTTTCTAACTTTAATATTACAATGTATAAATATATCAAACATATTTAATATATGTATATAAAGATATAAATATAAATACATAAATGTAAAATACATTTTGCAATAAAAACCTCATTCACCCTTAAAACACTTTTCTTTATTAAAACTTCTGACTTCATTCAATAAGAGAATTCCATATTTAAACCATTGCTCAATTGTAGACAATATCTACTCAGCATTCAACTGGTGCTGTGTATTAGCCAATGTACTTATGCGGACTCCTATATTTAGTTCCCACAAAATCACTTTGGCATAGGTATTATTACGAAGAAACTGAAGCAGAGAGAGGTTATAATGTTCTCCAATGTCACACAACTATTTCCTTTTTATGAGGAAGCAGGCAAAGGGGTCCTGTAACTGCACAACAGCTAATATTTAGACATGGAAAGTCAGATTGACACCTAAGACATTTGTATTGGTGTAATGTGCTGTTAATCGTTTTCCTACACTACCTTCTTGTTTACAACAATATCCGATTCAAAAGCAGGCATCTGTGTAGTTAACATTGGGGCAAACAGAAAGGGCTCACAGTGAATGCCACGTGACATGAAAGCCATGGGAACCTCTTGTGGAAAAATGATGCGGCAATGCAAGAGGCGAGCACAGAGACAGAACACCGTGTGGGTTTTCAGCAAAGGCTGAGGCAGAACAGAATCAAGGAAGGGAAACTGCTGGTACAGCTAGAAGATAAACAAAAGAACAAGTCCTGGAGCAGATGACAGAGAGAGAGGACCAGAGTACAAAGGAAGCCTGTGTTTCCACCTCTTAGCAACATGCACGCATTTATAAATGATACGCCGCAGCATTAAATGCAACCATTTGATTGTGGTATTTGCTCCCAGGTTGCTGTCCTTTTTTCTTGGCTTTAATTTTGTATTTCACATTTCCTGCCATCTGTTAGAGTCGATCAATTTTCCATATGTTCCTCCCATCCCACCTTCCAACTGCTGATTTGGAATTTATAAACTTGTATTTCTATTCTCTAATTTAGCACACATAGAATATTTCCTGTAAATCTTTTAGCCATCAGCAAAGTCAGTTGGTATCTCTACTCTCCTCTACAACAAGAAAAATCTTACATACCATTCTAGATTAAAGTTTTAATATTAAATACCAAAAGAACATGGGCTATTTCTATTATTAATGCTTAACTTTATCAACACAATTTATCCATTTCTTGCTGTTCACTGTTTTTCCTATCATACCCTGATTTCCCTGAGTTTATTTTTCAAATAACAGAAATGTCTAATTTAACAATGTTCTTCTTTAATTCTGTGTGGGCTGGTTTGTAACATCCACCTTTATGCACAGTAATGAGCTTATTTTCACCTTAAAATCAGCATGAAATTGCTGAATAAGGTTCAGTTTTCCTCTCGTGATTTCAAAGGTATCAGTCCCAAGGAGCCTTGGTTTTCTGCATACAGTTGATATAAAATGTTTATTTCAAATGAGCAACAACTAGACACACGGGTTCTGGTTTCTCTGTTGGGCAGCTCTAGGATGAATTGTTGCTTGGTTTGGTTTTCCAATCTGGTTTTTCTAGATGTCTCAATGGAGTCTCTTTCTTATCCTACTAAATGGTACTCCAAATATACTTGTGGGATATTCGATCACACTATGAACCCCGAGTTTGTGTTAAATTATAAAATCAACCTTGGTTCAGGGGGCAGAGTCAGCAACCAGCTGACCAGAGGAGCTGGGAATATGGAGAGAGAGACACACAGGAAGGAGAGGGTGAGACTTGAAAATTGTAGCTGCAAACAAGAAGAAAGAGACCAAGAAAAACTACAAGACAGGTGACGTATATGATGATCCCTCTACATGGGATCAGTTGTGAGACTGGATGAGACATGATAAATCCTCATGACTTAAACATGCCATCCTTTTATATGGCATGGATGGAGATTTATATTACAGCTTGGTTTTGCAAACCAAACAGACTAATAAAATTGGCAGATGTCTTTTACCTGCTCAAACAGAAAATCTTGAACTGACTTGTGCATGCCATACATTTCATAGTTCTGTTAATACAGATATGTATGTTACCTTTATACAAAGAAGTTTGTGTGTTTTCAGAAAAAAAAAAAAGATGAGACACCAATGAAGACAAGTAGTCCAGGTGACCCAACCTCACACAATGCCTCTGTTGCAGTTTCCTTAAACGCTACATCCAGACAACTTCAAAGCTGCTAGCTGAGATTGTCCAGCCTCATAGGCTACTCTAGCCAGGACTTCATATAAACTCTGCACTTTCACACTACACAGAGACTGAACAAAAAATAATACAGTTAACGTTCCCAGGATTTGACCATTATCCCAATTTTCTCAGGGTCCACTAAAGATGCTGCTGCCCCCAGATAATAGGAAGTAATTTTAAGAACACAATGCCCACATCCCCAAGAGGTGGGATGGATGGTTATTGGTCATGGGTGTTTGTCATTGTTTATGGGGGGTTGGTTGCAAGTTGTGACTGGTCATGGTCAGGGAAGAAACTAATCAAAGGAGGTTAAGATTCAGGGATCTCTTTCTGAAAAGAAAAAAGGGGGGATATAGGAAGGATAGGATAAAAGGGTACATTGCTGAATCTATTTTTAAACTAAAAAGTAACTTTTAGTCTCATTTACACTGGTATGGAGTTTTGTATACTGATGCAAATTTAAGGTTATTTTTGTTTTAACTTACTACATATATATATGCAGTTTCTGTTCTTGTTTCAGGTTTGTACCTATACAACTCATTTTAAAATGCAAAGTTATAGTCCTTGAAAGCTATTATTACAAACTATTTAGAATAATTAAGGATGTGGGTTAGTATTTAGTTATCTATAACAATCAAACTTGTAGTCAGTCATGTTAGGCCTGTCAAGGTAAAACAGATATAATTTACATAGATAGGTGGTCTCCAAACACTTCATAGACCTGCAGAATATGTCATTTAAGATGTTTTAATAACACAAGGCTTTTCATGACAGTGAAATATGTCTACTCCTAGCAGCACCAATCTACTTCAGAGATGATGATGGGAATCAAAGAACCTCATATGGAGTTTGCTTCCATTGTAGCAAAATTAGCCACTGGACAAGAAACTACCCTTGCCTTAACTGTTGACAGTATGCTGTCCAGATTGGACAAGCAGGATGCAAAAGAAGGTGACTACCAAACTTTGCAAAGACAAGGTAGCAGGGTCCTTCAAAATTCCTGCTAACAGAACAGTCTATTAGATATTCTAGGCTTGTAGGCTGAAGATGGATGCCCCAAAGTTGCAGAGGAACCATGGAGAACTGTTCAGGCAGCCATCTCTCTCTGTCATTTCTATAGTTTTGGAATTTGCTTTTTCTGCACTTCTTGTTTACTCAGGTAGAAATCCTTCTCAGGTCTATGATGGGGATTGAACACTAGATAGTTATACTGTTTTCTTTGTTACCAAATTCAGAAAAGAAACTTACAAAAAAAGAGATGTAAAGTTTATAAGGTTTGGAGACATAAAAGCTTAAGCTATCTAAGAAAATGTTTTTAAATCTAAAAAGATACTTTTAGGCTGGTAATAAGTTATATAGAAAGTGGTTTAGGTATAAAACAATAAAGAATAGAGTTTTTTCTTCAAATTTGCCAAATACAAATGGACTGCACATTGTGAATGTAATTCATACCTGATAATTTTTCTTATTGCATATAGTTTTACTGTGTTTGAGTTAAAACCTTTCCATTTTATTTAGACAAAAGGTGGAAATGTTTTAGGATATAATCTTTTTATCGCTGTGAGGATGGATGTGTCTCTGCCTAAAGCACCTTCTGATTGGTTTAGTAAAGAGCTGAATGGCCAATAGCTAGGCAGGAGAGTAGAGTGGGACTTCCAGGAAGAGAGAAAATCAGAAAGCACCTGAGACATGCAGGATTAAGTCAGTAGATGAAGAAGGAGTCTGTAAGTAAGAAGAAGAGGTAAGGAGCTAAATGGCAGAATGTAGATTAATATAAATAGGTTAACTGAAGTTATAAGAGCTAGTTGGGAAGAAGCCTAAGCAAGTATCTATAATTAATAAGAAGTTTCCATGTCACTCTTTGGGAACTGGTGGTCCAAGGAATGACCAACTTCTTGTATTGGATTTTTCTGGCTTTTTTTTTTTTTTTTTTAGGCAGACTCACTATGTAGATCTGGATGTCCTGGAACTTACTATGTTGACCAGGCTGCCTGTGAACTCACAGAGATCCTACCTCTGTCTCCTATGTGCTGCAATTAACATATGTGCCAAAATTACCAACTGGCTAAGAGTCTACTTGTAATTGAGGAATCTTGTTTTTCTCAAATTCTGAAGACTATTCCCTCTTTAAAAAAAAAAGAAAGAAAAAAGTGTGTGTGGTGTATGTGCACACTGTAATGTGACAGTAGGCACAAGAACAGACATGCACCATGTGGAAGTCAGAGGATAACTTCCACCCTCTTGCTGTTTGCTACTACATGCACCAGACCTACTACCTGCTCCAGGCCTGTGAGCTGGGACTCTCCCATCTCCGCTTCCCATTTTGCTGCAAGCATGCTGGGATCACAGATGCTCTACTGCATCTATCTTTATGTGGGTTCTGGAGATGTGCACTCCAGTCCTCACATTTGATGGGAAGCACTTTATCCAAGGATTAATTTCCTCAGCCCTCCATGATCTCTATAAATGACATTACTTTCCTGTCTTCTCTCTCTTAAATGCCTATGAAATAAAAGCTGGAGCTTCATTCTGTTTTGTTTTGTTCTGTCTGAGACAGCATTTGATCTGGTATAGTACAGGCTAGTCTCAGACTGTAACAATTCTGTCTAAACTAAAATCTGTGAAAACCTTCAGAAACACTACTTTACCCCCACAATGATCATTTAATCAAAGCACATAAAATAAGTTGCTCTCAGATAGAAACTTGTGAATGTTCTCATTATGAACTGTCTAGATGTTACTATATATATATAATGTTATGAAGCACGAACAAGGTTAGTAAATGGATCAAACACATGCATGAATACTTATTTTACAAAACACACCCATCTTAATAAACTCATATTATTTGCTGGTTAAGAATCTTCATAATTTTCACAAATAATCATACGCTATCCATGAATACCTCTAGACATTTGTTTTAAGCTCAAAGTCTGGCTGTTTGCCACACATCTGCTGTCATTAGTAAGATTAAAACTAATTTTACTAAAATTCAAACCATCTGAATGCTCCTTAAAAATTTAAGGATGTCTTAGCAAGCCTCTGCTCCTTAATGAGCTGCTCCTGACTTCACTGTGTGATTTGAATTATTCAAAAGTCAATCTCAAAGTCTTAAGTATATAAATTATCTTTCAATCAAGCAATTACTTGGTATCTATCTGGTAGCTAACAAGGTCTAATTTGGCCTAGGCAAATCTTGAAAAAGAGCCTAAAATAAAACTGTCAATAAACAAATGTATTCCTACTATAAGACAATTAAACTCAAACTTTTATTACAATCCTCAGAGGAAAGAAAACAAAACAACTAATGGATGCCAATGTATAGTGGAACAACATTCGATATTCTTTTCTGAGTTAATGTTTACCTAAGAAAACCACTATATATTTTGCCCCGCATTATGTCATCTCATCAACCATTTTTCCTTTACTGTGTTTTAATAAGTATGCTGGATTCTGGAACTCAGAGACTCATATTTTTATTCCTTCAACCAGTAATAGCCAACTCTTTAAAAATTCAATCAATTGGGCTGGAGAGATGGCTCGGAGGTTAAGAGCACTGACTGTTCTTCCAGAGGTCCTGAGTTCAATTCCCAGCAACCACATGGTGGCTCACAACCATCCGTAATGAGATCTGGTGCCCTCTCCTGACTTGCAGGCATACATGGAGGCAGGATGTTGTATTCATAATAAACAAATAAATAAATCTTTAAAAAAATTCAATCAATCAATTAATTTTGTGTGTGTGTGTGTGTATGCATATATGTGAGTGTACACAAATGTGTTATGACAGGTATGTGGCGGTCAGACGATTTACTAGAATGTCTTACAGACTGTGGTCCCACTAGTCCTACAATGGCTATCTACCAATGGAAGGCCTAAGAATCTAGTAGTAGTCCTCAAGGCTGGTTGTATGAACTGGTCTTCTGAATCCCAAAGAAGTATGCTATAATGCCAGTGAAGGGATGGACTTGCTTCCTTCTTCCATGTCCTTTACATAGGCTGCCAGCAGAAGGTGTGGTCCAGATTAAAGGTGAATCTTCCCACCTCAAAATGTGATCCTCCATCTGCTGCGCAGTGGTGGCACATGCCTTTAATTCCAGCACTTGGAAGACAGAGGCAGGTAGATATCCAAGTTTGAACCAACCTGGTCTACAGAGTGAGTTCCAGGACAGCCAGGGCTATACAGAAAAACCCTGTCTCAAAAAAACCAATACACACACACACACACACACACACACACACACACACACACACACACACACACACACGGTGCATCTTTCCACATCAAAGATTCTGATTAGAAGTGGGTCTCGCTGGCCGTTGGTGGCGCACGCCTTTAATCCCAGCACTCGGGAGGCAGAGGCAGGTGGATCTCTGTGAGTTCGAGGCTGGGCTGGACCGACAGCCTCCAAAACAATACAGAGAAACCCTGTCTCATAAAAACCAAAAAAAAAAAAAAAAAAGTGGGTCTCCCCACTGCAAATGATTTAATTATGAAAAAAAACAAAAACAACCCCCCCAAAAACCCTCAGACGCTTGCCCAGCCATTTGGATTTTAGTTAATTCTAGATACAGTCAAGTTGACAACCAAGAATAGCAATAACAATGAAGGACTTAAAAAAACTATTCAGATGAACCAAAATCTGAACAACAAACATCATGCCATAATCAGAAACCAAATTTTGTGACAAAACAATAAAACATAAAGCCCTAGCAAATTTAAAACAGGAAACACCATTAGGAATGAAAAAAAAGAACCACATATGTAGCAGAGTAAACAAAGCTTACAAACTTTATGCAAATAAACTGGAGAGAGAGAGAGAGAGACAGAGAGACAGAGAGACAGAGAGACTGACTACAGGTGAATGTTGTGTGGAAGTCAAGATAACCTCAAGAGTTGGTCCTCACCTTCCACCTTGGAACATTCTTGTTTGCTGGCACCCTCCTACACACACCCACATCAATTCAGACAGTTTTACAAATAATTTTACACTCTTCCAATCTAGAGGGAATCTTGGAAAGCTTCTCGAAAGTTTACACATACCTGCTTCCTTAGGTGTTGGGAGTTTTTCAGCTCTTGGAGCTTGTGATCCCTGCCCTCCTTTGTGGACATCTGTAGAGTACAACTTGACTCTATTTAGAGTACAAACATGTGGGTGACCATTGGGAACCATGTATGTGAAGCTTCCAAATGTCATTAAATTCTTCCATCCTAACAGGAAAAAAAAATCACTTTAATTTCAAAACAACTCTTAAGCATAGTTAACAAACCAGATGCTTGACTTGAGGCATTTCCTTAGTAATTAAGAATCAAATATTTCAACTTTTTCCTAATTTATAGTGATAGGAAACTTCACTCATATTCAATTATTCCAAAAGGTGGTAATCTGTACAGAACAGATACTCTCTTATTATGTATGCTGGCTGCACTTAAAAAGAAACTGGCATAATATATAGAATAGCAGACTCTGGCTGAGGGAGAGGGTGGTCATGTCACCATTTGGTGACTGCCCCGTACATGAGAATTGTAACTGAGGGAAGAGCAGGAGACACACAGCACTGGAGCTGCTGCATCTTGGTTGACAGTGGCTTTAAGGGGACACCACAATTGCCTCAAGTGACAAAAAATGAACCTCTACTCTCCTGACCTTTTCTTTCACGTATTACTGTGTACACTCAGAATTCCAGCTATTTAGATACGGTCTGTAATTTCTAAGGTCTTACATGGAGCCAGCCATGTCACCAGAGATAACCCAGTGGGCACTGAGAAGCTGACACGGTGGAGGACACAGATCACAGATGGGACCTGACCTTCCATCCTCAGCACCATGGCGGTGGAGGGTACAATGTCTAACTGCTAAAAATGAATTTCCAAAACAATGGTTTTGGTGGGAACTCCTTGATGTCAATGTATTCTTTTGTCTACTTGGCAAACTGCTGTGAGTCCAACGGTGGTTTTGGTTTTATGAATCTATTTCTAAAAGCCAAGTGAGGAAAGTAACGGTAGAGGATTCCTGCACACTGAGACATGTAACCTACCAAACACATCTGGCAAAATACAAGACTCAGGAAACAGGAAGGGGAATTAGGGGCACATAAGAGCAGGGAATGCCCTTTGTCCTGACACTTGGGGAGGCAGGCAGGTAGATCTCCGAGAGTCAAAGGCCAGCCTGTCCCCCTGGGATCTAGTTCACCTTCCTGCTGACTGAGAATTCGAAAATAAATTTCAGAACTAACAAAGTCAAATTTGCCTGTGATAATTTGTGTTTTCCTTAAAAAAAAAAAAAACTCAAATACATTAAAACAACAAATTGCTGGACCGATAGCCTCCAAAACAATACAGAGAAACCCTGTCTCGTAAAAACAAAACAAAACAAAACAAAACAAAAACAAAAACCAAACAAACAAAAACAAATTGTCTAAGCTTATTTAGGGTCAAATGTTTGTAACCTCCAGCTCTGAGGCTCTTCTATCTCCAGTGTGTTGTCTTTTGATCTCCACAAGTGTGCCACGACATGTGTGCTCTTATACCTCCAAATACACATCAGACACAGCCACACAACAGCAATAAATAATTCTCTAAAAAAGTCTTGACCAGTTGTCACAAACATGAGTTTTTTCATTTCTGTGTGAACAGACCCACACTGTACCTGAGATCTCTTTTAACCATTTTTAAAGCTATACAATGTCTTTTTTTCTAATTTGCATTCTTTAAATATTGAATAAACTAAGTTGTTTGTCTGAATTTCTGCCCTGGTAGTTTTCCAGTCTGGGCTTTACTGATTGAATTCACATGGTGGTGTTTAACCTATCCTATGTCCTATAAGTCGTGTTAGTGACAGCTTCTTCTGGCTTCAGCTGCATGTGTAGGATGCCTTGGAAGCGGCAATGAAGCCTCTTTGCGGGCTGGTTATTTTGGGTTGAGACTATACTTTGCTGGGCCCTGACCAGCACAGTAAAAGAAAAAAAAACCTCACCTAATATCTAGTTGTCCTTTTATTTATGACAATGTCTACTGCTATTCAATGCTAGATACATTTATTCATTAGGTGGTCTTAATCGTATCATTTCAATTTTATTACTTCTCCATTCAGTCAGAATATCTTCACACAGAGAAAATGCCTACTCTGTGGTTACGAAGTAAGTAGTACAGTTTAAGTCCGGCTCAGTGCTTACTTCTTCCCTTTATGAACCAATTCCCAAAATAGAACGTGCACTGCCTAACATGCTGCAGAGGTGGCATGCTTTAAGCTTGCACATTTCACTACAATTCCAGATTTTAATGTGAATTGCTGTATCTTCCAATCACTGACCTAAGTAATGCTCAAATGGTCTTATCAATGGCCAGTAGAGGTCGCTTCAAATCCTTCTAACACAGTGTTATTTGTAGTGAGACGTCTACCCCGCCTGCACCCGTGTATCTTAATCTGTGCATCTATAGTTATCTTGGAGGGCCCCCTTGCTAGTTGTTTGGAAACATCCTTAAATTTTAATTTCAATAAAATACCAGGTACTAATTAACAGCTTCCTGTATATCTCTAGCAATAATACACAACTGAAAACTGCTTATAGGGTAAAACTACACAGGTCCACACCTGACTCAATAAAATCAATGTAAAACCTAGCACGGCAGCAGAAAATACAATCAATCATTATGGGATGAATTGCTGAATACATTAATTCAAGCTGGCAAAAATATAGTAAAACTTATTCCCAATCTTAACGCCCTTTCTTCAAGGTGACATCTAAAATGAGTTATACATAGAACACTGGTCTTTAGTTTGGCGTGTGCTGTTCTACCTGAACAGGGCTTTCTCGTTGCTGTACACCTAAGGGCTGTTTTCATCTAAGTTGTAGGACTCCTGGGATCTTACAGGGTTAGTCACAACAAAAGGGGCCTACTTACAAGTCTTTGCTTTTCTTACTGTTACAGCTCCTGTAGCTCCTATTAGTTCACTGCTTGCTGTCTCCAGTCTAGTTTGTCATCTACTTACTTACTTACTTTGGCTTTCACTTTGAGACTAAGAATAATTTTTTTTAAAAAGCCTATTTTCTTCCCTGCAAATTGACAATGCAGTCTATTATATGTAACACCTGCAATAAAAACTAACAAAAGGCCATCTTGTAGTTGGGGTTCGTTTCTAGCTAATTTTAGGGCTTGAGTGGAGTGTAGTGTGTCTTCTACATATCAGTCTCCTTACCTAAGAGACTGTAATTTGGAGTTTCTTCCTTCCAAATTACAAAGCAATGTTTAAAACTAATAATTGCATGGCTGGGGAGATGGCTCAATGATTAAGATTAGCTTTTCTTACAAAGGATCTGGGTTCAATTCCCAGTACCTACATGGTAGCTCAAAATCAACTGTAACCCCAGACCCAGAGTATCCAACACCCTTCTCTGGCATCCTTAGGAATGAGGTACACATGCAGTAATTACACAGACATACACGTAGGCAAAACAAGCACACACATAAAAAGTAACTTTTTAAAAACTAAGCAGTTGGACTAGCTGACATTTAATCAATGAAGTGCTTGTCTTCTCAGCATGGAAACCTGACTTCAATCACCAGGACACACATAAAAAGCCGGACATCGGCTAGAGAGGCGATCTAAGACGATCCCCAGGACTCACTCGGTCATTGTCTCTAAAATAAACAAGCAAACAAACAACAACAAAACTAAGGTGGATGGTAACCGAAGAAAGACAACCAAGGCTGTCCTCTGGCCTCACACACACACAGAATCAAACGCATGAGGGTTTTGTGGGTTTGTTTGTTTGTTTTTTCCTGAGACAGAGCTTCTCTGTGTAACAGCCCTAGCTATCCTCAAACTGACAGAGATCTGCCAAAGTGCTGGGACTAAAGGCATGTGCTACCTACCACACCTGGCTCTTTAGATATTCTTAATAAAAAATTCCCATCTTACAATGTTGTATGAAAAGGGAAGACTAACTCAATATGGTTTCAATCATTAAAAATGTACTTGATAGCAGGCATGGTGGTATACACCTTTAATCCCAGCACTTGTAAAGGCAGAGACAGGAGGATCTCTGTGAGTTTCAGTCTGGACTACATAGTGAGTTCCAGAACATCCAGAGCTATGCAGAGAGACCCCCAACTCAAACAAACAGAAGCAGTGTAAAATAAAAATAAAAAAAAAGAAGAAACTAGCCGGGCGTTGGTGGCACACGCCTTTAATCCCAGCACTCGGGAGGCAGAGGCAGGCGGATCTCTGTGAGTTCGAGGCTAGCCTGGTCTACAAAGTGAGCTCCAGGACAGCCTCCAAAGCCACAGAGAAACCCTGTCTCGAAAAACCAAAAAATAAATAAATAAAAAATAAAAAAATAAAAAAAGAAGAAACTAAAATATCAGTAACCTATCTGGAGCTTCATTAAGATCTTATTGGAGACAAAACAGATGGCACAGTGGTTAAGACAACTTCTAGAGGACCCGGGTTCAATACCCAGTATTCACACAGCAGCTAACAATCTAAAATTCCAGTTCCAGTGGATGTAATCAATACCCTCTTGTGGCTTCCAGGAGCACTACACACATATAATGCACAGACAAACATGCAGGCAAAACACTCAGACACATGAGAACTTTAAAATAGTCAATTTATTAACTATTATCAACAGATCTTATTAACAGCACTGTCACAATTTGTGACCGTCTGTGGAACAGTAACACCCAGTAGGCCCAGTTTACTTGTATCCTTTCTGGTAGCCAACAGGACAGGGAAGCCCTGCCTACACTCTAGCAAGCAAAGGCGTGAGCAAGACGGAGTCGCCCAGCCCAGGAGAGTAGGACTGATAGGGTTTGAACACAAGGTCTGGAAAGCCCCACCACCCCACCCCTGCTTTTTCTTTTTTTTAAAGAAGGCAATAAGGGCACATATTGACCACTCCCTGCACAACATCTTGGATTACATCTCTACGGTCTTGCTTAATGACTTCAGCGGGTGTAAGAAAAGTAGAAACAGTCTGCAGTCCCAAGACAGGGGACAGAGACAGGAAGATCAAAAGTCCCAGGTCAGCCTAGGCTAAATGTTGAGACCCTGTTTCAAAAAGATGGGGTGGGAGTAATATCAATAAAAGCATCTAACATAATATAAATACTGTAACTATAAATACATTTCCAATTTATTAGTATAGTAATGAACCGAAATACACCTCTCAATATGTATTTGTTTAACATAAATCATTTTAAGTACAATTGTTAGGTCAAAGGCACAAATCTCTTAAAGTTCCTTTTATAGAGAGAACAACTACCTCCTAAAATAATGTTCAGTTCTGCTGCAAATCAGTACAAGAGAGTTCCTGCATCTCCCATAAAGTTATTGTATCCTTAGTAAGAAAATCTTAAGGGGCTGAAGAAATGGCTCAGCAGCTAAGTACTGCAAATGCTAGTAATCCAAGCTCTAAGTGATTCAATGCCTTCTGTTGGCTTCCATGTACACACAAGCACACATACCCACACATACATGTGCATATACTGACACATACACTAAAATATTTAGACGAAGAAAGAGAAAACTTAGCCAATGCAAGACAGGCAGTGAGCAGTAAAACCCTTTAAACATACATAGCCACACTTCTTAATGTCTGCAGAACAATTCTGCACTTCTACATGCTATTAAACTTCCATTTATTCCCTTTGTCCAATTTGATATTGCTATGTACAGTAGTCTGTCAAACTTCTTTATAACTAGAAATACTAACTATACTATACAATAGACATACTGAGTATGGTCAGTCCAAAGTGTGATGGGTTGTAAGTGTGCAATACACACTGGGTTCTGAAGACAACGCAAAACAGGAAACAGCTTGATTTTTTAAAATTATATGTCAGAACATTTTTATATACTAGGTAAAGTATATTAATCTATTTTTACTTTTAAAATGTGGCTAACAGGAGTTGGAGGGATGGCTCAGGAGTTAAGAGCACTGGCTGCTCTTCCAGAGGACCCAGGTTCAATTCCCAGCACCCACATGGCAGCTCACAACTGTCTGTAATTCCAGTCCCTGGGGGATCTGGCACTCTCACAGACATATGTGTAGGCAAAACATCGATGCACACAAAATAAAAGTAAATAATTTTTCAAAAAATATGGCTACTAAACAATGCAAAACTACATTATGTGGCTCAGCTCTTTAATAGGCTTTTTTCTTTGCCTTCAGAGGGTTCTCAACTTTAAGTATTTGTATCAGTCAGTAGTTTCCTCCACTATTCTTTTCTGTTGTTTTGTTTAGTTTTTCAAGACAGGGTTTCTCTGTGTAGGCTTGGATGTCCTGGAACTCACTCTGTAGACCAGGCTGGCTTCGAACAGAGATCTTCCTGCCCCTGCTGGGACTACACACCCGCACCGCCATGTCTGGCCTCCTCTGTTTATCCTTTAGAAGCCTTAACTAGACAAGCAAGCATTCTAGAAGCAGAAGCTAAGCTTTAATTCTTCTGAAAGAAAATCATCTGAGCTTCAAATGGTTTTCCTGGCAGTATGCATCCAACTGAAATAGCACTTTTTCCAAATGATCATTAAATTTAAACACAGTTATGACTGCTCTCTCAAATACTGTGACAAAACTTCCACAAAGGTGACACTTTTAATCTATAGGGTTTTAAGCGTAAAAACATTCAAACTGTTTGTAGTAGTAAACATCCTGCCTAACGAACTTTGACAAGCCATCTTTATATGGATGAGACAGGTAATTATTATCTGTGTTGCACAGATGAGGCAGAGCATAACATCTTGGGCCTGGTGACAGCTCCATAGAGTACACTACTTCACTGTGACCAACACTGAAGGGGCAATCTGGACAAGAGCCACTATATGAATTTCAGTGTAACATCCCCAATTTTACTTGAGGTTTCAGAACAGAGCATATAAGCAAACGATTCATTCTATTCTAAAGACAATCGGGCATATTGGCAATATGGGAAAACTCCATAGCTACAGTTTTCTGCCACTAACAAAAACCCTAAAAAAAAAAAAAGGGTTATTGCAATAAATTCATTTGCAATCTTGGGAGCCATCTTTTATATTTACTACAAATAAGATACGAATATATTCTGCCTTATTTGCACAGCACAGGCACCTGTTACCGCTTTTACCACTCAAAAGCCTGAAAGGCGACAGCTTTTGACTTCCACTCAAAAGTTTTTAAAGCCTGAATGTTCGGGAGACGTTTCTGTAAACACTCTTTGCAACAACAGCGCAGGAGTGTCTCACTCAACCTAAGAGGCAGGTAAAACGGCGGCGGCGAACTCAGGGAACCCTCCAAGTTGCTGGGATCCGCCATGCCCCACGGTCTGTTGGGGTCACCGTGGGTCACGGCGATTCGCGACAAGCCCTCCGGTCTGGTGGTCCGCCTCGGGGTGTCCCCACGTCCGCTGGCCCCCGCGGGGGCTCTGCAGCCGATGCTCGCGGGGACACCCGTGGGGGGGTGGGAGGCGTGCGAGACCGGCAGGCTCTGGACTGGGGAAGGGCAAGCTGGTCAACTGCCGAGGCCAGGAGCGGCCTCCGCCGGTCACTCACCCTGGCTGCAGCCGCGGGCCACTGCCCGGCCGCCACCGAGCCTGCACAGCGTCGCCCAGCTGCACCTGTGCGCCGCGACGGCGGCGGCCAAGCCCGGAAACATCCTAGCGGGGCAGAGGCCCCCACTCGGACACCGCCTCCTGCCTCCGAGTCGCCGGCCGCGCCAACTGACTCCATAGACCGGACCCCAGCGGACACGACTGTGTGCGCCGCCGGAGGCGGCCTCGGCGACCCGGAAGTCGTGACGGTGTGACGCGACGGCGGAAGTGACGGAATACGCCGAGCTGGGGGGGGCGGGGCGGGGCGAAGCGGCCAGCGGCGGAGACCCAGTCCTCTACAGTGTGCTTTCCGCCCTGGGATCGGGGTCTGGAAGTCCGTGTCGCGTTGTTTGAGGGATTAAACAGTCTCCCGAAACGCTGTCCGACTCCGCGGGGTGGGACGTGGGAGGAGAAGGCAGGGTGTGAGCTTCTGTCCCCGGTGCCCTTGGAACCCTCCGCAGCGCGCTGTCCAACACCGCGGTCGCCTTGCTGCTCATCACTCAACCTCAGATCCTCGACCGTGGTATAACAAAATTAGAGGCGTCTGTGAAATTCAATTTATTACATGTTCGTGATACTGCGTGTACACGAACATGGAGCAATTTTGAAACAACCTGGTCCCAGAGAGAAAGATGCCTGAACACTATTCGCCTGTTGCAACTATTCCCATATCAGGGTCGTTCGGGTCTTGGCTTAAGCATGAGAGAGACCTTTATTATTCTCTAAATCGTTGTCCTGTTTGCTTTTCTTCAAGCTACCACTACTGAAACCGGACGTGATGGTGTCCGCCTTTAATTCCAGCACCCGAGAGACAGAGGCAAGTGATCTCTGTGAATTTGGAGCCAGGGTTTCTTAGTGTAAACTGGAACATGCTTTGTAGACCAGGCTGGTGCTGACAACTGCTATGTCAGAGAGATAAAAGTGGACGTGGAAAATGATGACGAGTGTCTTTCATGAGTCTCATGCAGCATAATTCCTGCGGGGCTTTTCCATCGACGTTCCAGCATTTGTCAGACACTGTTAGGATCGAGCTGGCTGTCCTTGGTTTCATCCTGTTTAGTTCTGGCACAGTGATGATTTTGGTCATGCATGAGGCAAACCTGACTGGCTATCTGGAAAATGGACTTAGATGATTCATTACAAAATAATGGGAATGGTTCCACACTGAAGCTAAGAGTGCACACTTAGGTTTGAGCACAGACACATCTGCTGGAATGTGTTCTTTTCCCCTTCAGGATTACTGGGGAAGAGCCTTACCCACCTGAACATTTTTTAATGTTTACACATAAAGGGACTATCAGGCCACAAGCAAGGACATTGGTCTCCACTATACACAGTCAGTGAGAAAGTAGATTTGTAGACACATTTTGCATGTATGGGAGAATTTCCTGCATATGCAAAACTGTTCATATTGTTTCAAACGTTGTTAACCCCCACCTCCATTCTTCAGAGATGTTGAGACATTTGTGTCCATTCAGCATGAATGTGGTACAACATGAAACCAGACTCAGGCCCTCTCTCACTCCAGATGTGTACCGAAAAGCATGATCTAAGAGAAAATACAAAAAGTGTGTTGTTCTGGGTGTGTTATAGGCATGTGTGTACTGTATGCAGAGGCTAGAGGTCAGTAGCAGGTGTCTTCATCTAGCTCTGCCTTTTCTTAAAATCATTGTGTGCACTGCATAGGTGAGCACGTCTGAGTACATAGGTGAACAGTGTGCCTTTGGAAGACAGATTACTTGTGCGAGTCACTTCTCTTTCGATCATGTGGGGTCCAGGGATTGAACTCAGGTCATTTCATTCGTCAGATGTGCCCTTCTCTGACGAACCATCTTGCCAGCCCCTCTGATGTATTTTTAAATTGTATTGGGTGTGCATGCACATGTGTGTTCATGATGGGGGGGAGCATGTGCCATCTCACACATGGGGAGGTGAGAGGCCAACTTTGCGGAGTCTGTTTTCTCCTACCTTTATGTGGGACCTGGGTGTCAAACTCAGGTCATCAGCTGCACTGGCTGGTTTTGGGTATCAACTTAACACAAGCTAGAGTCTTCATAGAGGAAGGAGTCCCAGAGAGGAAGGGAATGCCTCCATGAGAATCAGCTGTAAGGCATTTTCTCACTTAGTGATCAATGGGGGAGGGCCCAGTCCATTGTGGGTGGTGCCATCCCTGGGCTGCTGGTCCTGGGTTCTATAAGAAAGTATATTGAGCAAGCCAGGGGAAGCAAACCAGTTAGCAGCTCCCCTCCATGGCCTCAGCATCAGCTCCTGCTTCTGGGATCCTGCCTTGTTTGCGTTCCTGTCCTAACTTCCTTCAGTGATGAACAGCAATGCTGAAGTGTAAGCCAAATAAACTCTTTCTTCCCCAACTTGCTCTTTGGTCATGATGTTTCATTGCAGCAAAAGAAGCCCTAAGATACAAGCCTTATGTAGCAAGCAGTTTTACCCGTTGCGCCATCTCCAGAGCCAAGAGTGAGCTATTCTTACGCATTTTGACTACCAACACTGATGAGGTTTCGTGTGGGGGATTTCACTGACGTTCTGTTTCATAGATAGGATCTCAATATAGCATTTGCAAAGAAATGGAACACAGAGCTCTTCTGACCAGATTGATAGGGGAGCTTTAAAAAACAAACACAAAAACCAAAAAGAAACTAAATTTGAGGTTGTTTTAAATGAGGACTAAAATCAAATACCTGGAATGAAAATCTTAATGACTAAGGGGACTGACAGCTAAAGGAGCTAAAGTTTGAAAAAAGAGCAAGTGTAGGAAACAGGAGGCATCTTGCTTGTGCCTCCCAAGAGTCTCAGTCAAGCAGCTTTTTCTCCCCGATACACTGTGAACATCTTTAGCCTGGGATTTCCCCTCATCTTCTTATTCTGTGTGTTCTCTGTATATTATAGCATGGGGCATCGGGTATGCACAGTGAAGAAAGGAATGGAAATTAAAAACTACATACTTTTAATTCTCCTTTGATGTCTAGCCCTTCACTGAGAAGGATGAAGATGAAATTCCTATGGAATTGCTCCAACTTGTACCCTAGACAGTGACCTTTCAATGTCCTTCCTCATTTTCTGGCCAACTTCCCTTCTCAATATAAGCAATACTCCTGGGACCCATCGTGCTCCCCACCCTCCTTTACTCTTTTTCCCTCTCCCCTTTCTTTCGTTCATTAGGGCTGGCTTGAACATGCAGGAAGTCCTGACCCCGGTTTTCTGTTTGCTGGGATGATTTCAACAACATAAACACATTGCTTACTGTTTGTTTTACTTTTTCCTAACTCCTCAAACATTCCTTTTCTTGTCTTTGGGAAACTTTTTGGAAATACTCATCTAACATGAATTTATAACCTGTTGGTTTCCAAAAAATAGTTGAAATTATGTCAATTTTAGCATTAATCTTAGCCATGGCTTGTCTACTTCTGTTCATAAGGAGTTCTAGAGAAACAGAAGTGAGAAGAAAATCCTTTCCTACTCTGATATCTGGTCTGTTTTTACCTCTGGAAAATGAAGCCTCGGCTGTGCCCGAGAAACAGTGAACAATCCTGACCCCCAAGTCTGTCTCCATTCCAAAAAGGAACAAATTCACTGAAGCATCACACTGAATATTCCTCTGCACACCAGAAGAAAGCTTTAAGGGACCACAAGCCTTCCCAAAGAAAAGAGGCACAGGAAAGAAGCTAGTACACAGAAACAAAAGGAAATTTTTACATCAGGAGCTAAATGCTCTTTTGAAAAGTTACAAATATGAAGTATCAATGAATTATTACTAAGCCCACGTGTCTTTGACAAGTGAATTGCAGTCAGAGGTCAGAGTACAACTTTTTTAAATTTTTATTTTTTAAAGATTGATTTATTTATCACGATACAGTATTCTGCCTGCATGTATCCCTGCATGTCAGAAGAGGGCACCAGATCTCATTACAGATAGTTGTGAGCCACCATGTGGTCGCTGGAAATTGAACTCAGGACCTCTGGAAGAGCAGCCAGTGCTCTTAACCACTGAGCCTTCTCTCCAGCCCACAAAAAGAATTACTAACTTGAACCAGAGTGTCGACTACATGCTGCTTTGGCAACTTTTGCACCCTTGCTTGTTCTGAGTGTGGACTCACTCTTACTCCTTTTCCATGAAAATAAGAGGTGTCCCCAGGCCCCAGTAGTTAACTTACCTCTACCCTAGCCAAGAAATACCAGTCCCTAATGGAAGCTATACTTCAGTTAGTATGCACACCCTTATTCCCTTTCCATGAAAAAAAAAAATCCAGTTGTTAACTTACCTGCTCCCTAGCCAAGAAATCCAGGTCCACAATACAGGCTGTATGTCCAGTTAAGGGGTGTGTGTGTGTGTGTGTGTGTGTGTGTGTGTGTGTGTGTGTGTGTGTGTGTGTGTGTGTGTGTGTGTGTGTGTGTGTGTGCGCGCCACCATGCCAGTTTATAGGGATACAGGCACATTGAAATTAAAACGCAACTGAAACCAGTTCCTACTTGACCTCAGACCCATGACCATGGCCAGATCACACGCCCTTCCAATGCTGTGAGGCTTTCAACATCTTCCTAAGGCAGGCAGAAAAATGTAACACTAAGATACATTCTTGGCTTATCACAGATGCATTGAGCTTCAAGCATCCCGTAGACTACTTCTGCATCCTACTTATGAATTCATTGGGAATAATTTGGAAAGAGAGATGTCTTGTAATCATTTGCTGATTTTAAAGATGTTACTTCTCCGAAGAGCTCTTCCAGATAGACACATGTGAAGTTTGGCTAAGTAACCACACTTCTAGTGTCTACCTCCTGCATAAATATCTGGATTGGCAGAAGTCTTTGTACTTGAATGGGGCAAATTTTGAGTAGGTTCAAAGTTTAGTTTCTCTTTGAGTTATTGCTGGAGATGAAACTTAGGGTCTTACAAATGTTTAACCCAAGCTCTGCCACTTGGCTACATGCCCAGTCCCGAGTTTCATTTTCCATTAGTGTCATCTTAATTTATGAGGGTCACAGAGATTAAGCAACACAGATTCATCAAGTACTCTCTTGAGGCAGTTCTTTACAAATTCCAGGAGTCCCAGTCTTTCTACAGGTAACTCAGAAACAGTGTGAATACAGCCCTTTGTAAAAAACCTTTACCATATGTGAATACTTTTCACATATATCAAATCAAGCAACCTTCATTTTTTTTTACTAGTCACATTTAACAAATGAGGAAATTTAGGTCCACAAAAACAATGAGAATGTCCAAATACTAGAATCATGATTTCTGACATTTTTGAGACAGTGTTTCACATGTTTCAGGATAGCCCAAGATTGTCTTGAATTCCAGATCTACCTGACTACCATGCTTAGCTTCTTACATGAATCCTTGTTCTGTGGGTATAACTCCCTTATACTTTAACATTTGGGTTGCTAAATCAGGTCTACACTGTGATTGGCAATATTTTGGTATCTGGAGGTTGGTACTAGGATATCAAACCCAGGGCTTTGTTTATGCTAAGCCAGTGCAATATCATTGAGCTGTTGTTATCCGCCAGCCCTAACATTTGCATACCTTTGTATTAAACCTGTACTCTTCTGCTCAACTCAATGTTTCCACTTCTGAGCATATGTGCTTCCATTTGCGGAGGCCAGAGGGTATCAGAAATCCTCCTCTTCATGCTTTTTTGCTGAACCTGAACAGGGTCTCATAGTATTTTTTTCAGCTAGGTTCCTGCCTCCACTTTCTGAAAGCAGGGTTAGGGGCACTGGAGACTTTACTTGCCTTTTTAAGTGGATGCCAGGAGTCCAAACTCAGGTCTTGGCACTTGCATAAAAAGTAGCCTCTCCCAGAGTCATCTCTTAAACCTCCTTCGCGCTTCCTGTCACTATGTCTGGGAGTTGATAATTGTGTTGGGACTCTTAATCAACATTCAATAGCAACAAAAGATTTTCCAACTCTATT